ATCAGGACGTCAGTGTCTTCAAAATGCAGAACTGTTCATGAATATTTACAAAAATATACATTTTCTGCCTTCCAGTTTCCATGCCTTTAAAGCTGTGCTTTTGTTGTCCTGTGTAACAAGTAGAAAAAAAATTTTCTTTAGTGAAGGCTGAGATGGTCATATGATCCCTGAAGTAATAACTTGGGGTTAAGGCATAACCAAAGTGGCAAATAACAAGTAGATACTGGGTTTGCAGAATTGCAGGATGGAGCTACAGGTTTGCAATATATTCATTCACAAGGGCTCAGGGATTAATAGAGTTAATTTCTATTCTTTCAGTCATTGGCCCTGCAGTTGAAATCTTGGCTGATTCTTGGTGCAGTCACTGTTTCCAGTGTATATAGTTTACTAGTTTAAGAGCTTTGGATCCCGTGTGCTGTGGGGACAGTCTGGGACAGGAGGCAGAGAGCTTAAGTGGTGCTTCAAGAGGAAGTAATTAATATGAGAATTTGGTTGGACAAAGGCAGTCTCAGCAGTCTTTATGGGGTTTGTACTATGTGTTTCTACCTCCTTCAGCGTTTAATCATCTCCTTTTTTCCTTATCTGTTCATTCTTCCAATGTTTTCCTTTACTGCTGAGTCTTTTCATTGTGTTTTCTTTCTTGCTGCTTTTTGCCCAGGCAGACTTTGAGCCGGATAAAGCCAGAGCAGCACCTTCCCTCTGTTCAAACACAGATTGTCACACCAGCTCCTGGCTGCTCCCAGCAGCAGGTTTCGGGTGTGGGTTCTGGGGTACAACTGTTCCCCTGCTTCCCTCAGCCCTGGAGCTCTGCAAACCCCTCTTCAGGCAGTGCCATGGCTTTGCCATTAGAACAGGCTTTCTTCCTAGTCTCTGCCTTAAACCAGCAGTTAAACTGAAAGAGAGTAGTTTTGGATTAGATACTGGCAACAAATTCTTGCCTTTGAGGGTGGGGAGGCATTGGTTGCTCAGAGAAGCTGTGGATGCCCCATCCCTGAAAATGTTCAAGGCAGATTGGACAGGGTTTGGAGCAACCTGGGATAATGGAAGATGTTCCTGCCTGTGCCCAGGAGTTAGAACTGGATGATCTTTAAGGTCCTTTCCAACCTAAACCATTCTATGATTTTAATTCAGAGCACTTCTCTCTTGTCCACCCTGCACACAGCAGCTTTCTGCAGGGTTGCAGTCTGCTGTCATGTTTCTCTTGCCTTCTCCCAGCACTGACATTGTTCTCACAGGTCAAATGCTTTACGTCTGAGTCTTCCTGTGTTCTGCACCATCTCTTCCTTCCTGGCTCACAGGCAATAGTCCTGTTTGTGCATCTTGGCACAGGTTTTGCCTTTGTTCAGATTGCTGGTTCTTGAGTCTATCAGACCCTGGTTTTTCTCTTTTTGTTGTTTGGGTTTTTTCTGTTTAAAAACCTGCTGCTTATTTTTGATCCTGAATGGCAACAGCTGAATACTGAAATGCTGCAGTTATTCCTCAGAAGTTTCATCCTATTATTTGCAGTCTCCTGCAGTTTGCTGGTATCTCTTGAGTTCAGTATCAGAGGTTTATAATTCTTTTCTCTAGTCCATTAGCAGTGTGAGCACTGAGTGGCACTGGACAGACAGGGCCTTCTTGGTGTAGCCTGCCTGGTTTGTGGTAAAATCCTGGGTATCCGTGTGTGGCGTCTGTCTGTACCCAGCCTGTTGCAGATTATTAACCCAGGCATTCCTCAGCTTGCCCATGGGAACGCAGAGAGTGACCGCATGGAAACTCTGCCCAAGAGGTTAAGCAGCTCTTACAGAGCAGAGCCCTGTAAATAAATTTGGCAAAGCTTTCAGAGGGATGTGATATGTCCTGTCTCTCCAGCTGACCCCAGTGCCATCCTCCCTGCCCAGGGCTGAGTTTACCCTGTGTCCTCTGGCTCTGCAGCAGCCAGCTGTGACAGGGAGCGTGGCCGCTGCCCAGGTTCGTCGGGCTGCTGACAGGACAAGTCACATTTTCCCTCTCAATCCCAAAATTTGGCTCTAATCTCGATTGGGGGAATCTCGCTGCTGGGGCTGACTCAGGTCCATCTGAGTTTGGACCCTGCTTTATCACAGGATTTGTCTGTGCCAGCTGTGAAAACAGCTTTAGCTTTAAAAAAGAAAAAAAATCCTGAGTTATGGAGCCCTGCTGCGGTCCCTTGCAAATAATCATTGCAAACACTGGTTAATTGTTTATCCATTAGCCAACTGTGTCAATTAATCTGACAAAGAGCCCAGCTGTACCTGGCACAGTGGGGAGGAAAGGAGGAGGAAGGAGGATGAGCATCCTCTCTCCCTGTTAGCTCCTCTCTGTTGCTCTTCCTCCAGCCCTGCTGATGTGGTATTTGTCTTCTGATTTCCTTCAAGTGTAGTTGCTGGCATGGCACATCCAGGCTGTGTTTGGGCTTGTGTTCTCTTTGACCATGGAAAACATTCTTTGGAGAGGGCATTAAGTTTCCATGAAGCAATAGCATTTTCTGATGGAGAAAAAACCCCAACAAATTCTGTTTTCTTTCTACTAAATGTGAATGCAAACAGAAATACAAAGCAAGACACTGCTTTATTTGCAGCTAGAAATACACAAAAAAAATCTTTGCATGAAGTGCTGAGTGGGAAATAGGATTTTAATGTATGTATTGGTGCAGAGTGAGGCTCTGGGCTCCCTCCTGCTATCCCCAGGGTTATTTGGGAAGGCCTGGTAGCATGACCTCCCTTGGGAATGCTGTTTATGCCTGCTTTCCAGGAAGAAAATCAAACATCCAAAGCCAGTCTGTATCAAGTGGAATTACTTCACTCCAAACAAATTAAAATGTATGTTATGCTCCCTGAATAATTGGAAGTCCCCTGCAGTACATTGTTAGAATAGGAAAAGTGTAAAGCTTCCAAGAGGGAGAACTGGCTTCCCATGAAGTGATGAGGGAGGTGTGGGGCAGTGCCAAATTCCTGCTGCAGAGAGGCTGCACGGGCTGGGTAGGGTAACATCAGTGAGGTGAGAACAGTTTGATAATTGAAACAAAATGAAATACAGTAGTAATTGTGATGAAAGGGGAATAACACTGATGGAAACAAGTGATGCATAATACAGTAATTGCTCACCATCCCCTGACCAGTGCCCAGCCCCAGCAGCAGCTGGCACCCCCAGCCAATTTCCCCAGCTCGTATCCTGGGAAAGGTGTCCTGTGGAATGGAATATCCCTTTGGCCAGTTTGGGTGAGCTGTCCTGGCCATGCTGCCCCACAGCTTTGTGTGCACCTCCTCATTTGCCAGAGCATTGGAAACCAGGAAGTCCTTGAATTAGGGGAAGCAGCACTTAGCAACAATTCAAACATCAGTGTGTTATCAACATTCTTCTGGTCCTAAATCCAAAACACAACACTGTATCAGCTAAGAATAAAATTAACTCTGTCCCAGCTGAAACCAGGATCTTGCCCCAAAGTTCAGCATATCACTGGGAAAGGAGGTACCCACATGTGTGTTTATGTTTGAATTATTGATGCAGATCTCTTGAAGTGACCTGGGGGCTCTGGTCTGGTCCTAAAGCCTTCTGTGCTCTGGAAGCTGTTGGTTCTACATTTACTTTGGTATAAGAGAAGAGATTGACCCAGTTTTTCTTGTTTCAAGTCTGTGTGCAAATGGATTTATTTTTTTTCTGAAGGCAGCTGCTTCTAGCATGTTTTTAGGCATACATGGTATCAGCCTTATGTAGTAATGAAATAATGGACTTGTTTCAAAAGGAAACAATAATAAAGAATGTTCTTTCAAAAGCAACTAAACACATGATTTATTAAAATGTTAAATTATTTCCAAGTTATGGCATACCCAGCTCTTGTTGTGGGGCTCACTCAAGAATAATTGCACAGTGTTCTTTGCAGAACTTAACATCAGAAATGTCACACTTTTTTGGAAAAATCATTCTTTAACACAATGTAAGAGCTTCCACAAGTATAAATGGGCATCCTTGTATTGGCTTCTGTAAAATGTTGCCAGTTTGTCCCATCTGTATTTTTTCAGTGTAGCTGTTGAGCTGTGACATTTATTGCAGAGCAGGACAAAGACTGAAGGGACTTTTTATCATCATCAGGGAGACGTCCAGGAGCTGGAGCCTGGCTCTGTGAAGGACCAGCAGGCAGCTCCACAGCGCTGTAATGAGATGCAGACCCTGGAGAAGGAAGAGGAGGAGGAGGAAGAGGGTTTGCAAAGACTCAGGATCAGGGAAGGCTTGTGCTAGTGTCAGTGGCCATGCCTCATATGTCGATTTACTTTTGTTTCCTTATTTTTTTTTTATTTCTTCCTTCCCCATTTTTCTCATGATTCAGGCTCCTGGGATAGATGGGTGGGAATAAAGGTGGGAAGTGCTGTAGTCACCAGTGCCCAAACACCTCTAAGTGTCACTGTGTGAGTGCCCTGAGCAAGCAGCAGCCTTTTCCCTGGCCATGTCTGCATCACAGAGGGACACCCTGCTGCTGGAGGGATGAGCACAGCAGATGTGGAGCCCACCTTGTTGATCCCAGGCTTTCTGTGGGCATCAGGATGCTCCTGACCTCAGAGAGGAACCTTTAGAGCTGTAACTTTCAAGCCTGCTGAGAGGTTGGAGCCATGGGAGAGCACAAGGCACGCAGACACCACAGGCGGTTGTGTAACGTGCATAGAAATAGAGGAAATCATAATAATGCTGGGAGTTTCTAGGACTACTTCACTCAAAGGAAGAATATATAGCAAAAACGCCTACTGATTTTCTGAGTGAGCTTTTCCTCCATGCAGCCTGACCTGGGAAATTCAGTGCTGGGTGAATTAAGTCTGGGATTTGGCCAGGCAATAATATGGTTTGTAGCTTTAGGACTGAACATTTGGCATTGGGTGTGTAGGATGGGGATAGCTGGGAAGAATGTGGATAAAGGGATGGAAGGAAGATGTGTCCATGCATTGCCAGTGGTGTCCTTCAGCCCTGTGTTGCAGAGGAGGTGCTGACAGCTCTGTCCTGTCTCTCTTCAGCAGCCTGTGTCTCCTGAGCGCAGGCCCCTGAGATGTCTCTGAGAGCAGAAAGCCATGCAGCCGCATCCACGCTGAAGAAGCTCGCTGCAGACATGAGCAACATCATCGAGAGCCTGGACACCAGGGAGCTCCATGTGGAGGGGGAGGAGGTGGACTCGGAGGTGCTCACTGACCCCAAAGGCACCGGTGAGTTGACGCCCGTGTGTTCCCATGTCTTGCCTGGGTTTAACAATCTGTTGGCAGGTAGGCTACAGCCTCAGGGATTTTGCCAAACCCAGCACTTATCCTGATTTAGAACCAGGAGACTCTTAAAACTTGAGCTTCTCAAGTCAAGTCCCTTCTGTGTAACCTTGTCTTTGAGCTCTCTTTAATACAAATTGCCCTCTTTTGCTGGAATTAATGCTGCTGTATAAATGCTCCCATGTTAAAGCATAGCTGCTGTCTGCTGGCTTTCACACCCTTGTGGATTGTTACAAGGCTGTTGAGCTAACAGTTTTGTGGGGTTTGTGATCCTTGCAGTGTGCATTCCCTTCTCTGCCATCTACCACACCCATGGGTTCAAAGAGCCAGGCACGCAGACGTACCTCACGGGATGTCCTGTCCGAGTGCGTGTGTTGGAAGTTGAACGCTTCACTTCCACTAAGAAGGTCAGAACTTCCAGAGATTTCATTTGATTTCTGTAGAACTGTATTTAAAATGCTGTTTGTGCCTTAATTTTGCACTTGCTTGTTCGTGGGCTGAGGAAGCAGCAATGCCTGTGTCTTAGAAAACGCTTAGGAGAGAAGGTTATCTGTCTATTTATAAAATCTAATAAAGGAGAACGAGAAATCATGAGACAGAATAATCCTTAAGTAAAGTTGAATAAAGGCTCTTTAGATGAGCAGCTGCAGGAAAATATTTCAAAACTTGCATCTCATGTGGTGACGTTCTCTCCTGCAGGTACCAAGCCCCAATGTTTACACCATCGAGCTGACCCATGGAGAGTTCGTCTGGCATGTGAAAAGGAAGTTCAAGCACTTCCAGGAGTTTCACAGGGAGCTGCTGAGGTACAAAGCCTTCGTGCGCATCCCTATCCCCACCAGGAGGTGAGTGTGAATCCCTGTGGAGTTGTCAGCTTTGGGACATGGACTCTTTTAACTTCTAATATCTTATCTATTTGGCTTCACTGGTCCCATTTGCTTTGCTGTAAGGAGGAGAGGACAGAAGAATTCAGTCTCCATGAATATTTAGTAGTTATAATAAAAATACTTAATCTATGTGTTTAGCAGCCATAATCTAAGTGATGCAAACATCTCTCTGTTGACGCAGAAAACATTCCCTTCTGGGTCATCAGCTTTTGAGCTGGATTTGCCTTGAACTTGGGGAAGGGTTATGATAATGCTAATGGAAATTGCTGGAGCTTTGTGGCTTTCTGACGGTGTGGGCAGGATGTGGGAGGTGTGGGCATCACTGGCCAGGCTAGCCTTGGTGCTTGGGATGGCTGGAAATAAAAGAGGAATGAGAAGAAAAGTGGGAGGAGAAGTGATGTTGGTCAGTGAGAGCCTCCTGATATAGACGAACATTGGAATATGATAGGAAGGGTAAAACTGTAAGGAATTAAGAACTGGAGGAACATCATGCTTTAAAAACAGGGCGTAGGTTCCCTTTACTCACAAGGGAAAATTGTGGCCATCAAAAATCAAACTCTGATATTTCTGTGTTGTACTTTTGTTTGTCTGCCAGTTGGAGCACACTGGCTTCTTAAATAAATCCACATTGTATTCTTTTCTGGTTTTTTTTTTGGCTGTCCTGCCTGTCCGTCAGTTTTTAAGATCTTGGATAGGAAAAATAAAGGCATTGCAGCAGAGGGGTTACATATTGAGGCATACAGACACTTGCAGCACTGAGACTTGATGTTGGGGTGTGTTTTTCCTTCCAGTCACACGGTGAGAAGACAATCCATCAAAAGGGGAGAGCCGAGGCAGATGCCGAGTCTGCCGCACACCGCAGAGAGCACGATGCGGGAGGAGCACTTCTCCAGCAGGAGGGTAAGTGCCCCCCTCAGTCTAAGGGCAAGAGGAGTGCTCTGAGGTGCAGAGAAGCCTGGCAAGTTCCTTGCAAAGCCACACACTATCAAAATTCTTCTTTGTTATCACTACAGTATTCTGTTTGACAAAGCCTGGCTTTGACAAGACCAGCTTTAATGCCAAACTCTCTGCTGTGTAATGATGAGGATGCTGCTCCTGGGGTTCATGTGGGCAAAGCTTTCCTCACCAATTGAGGAATACCGTGATGCTGGGAGTGGTGGTTCCCCTCCTCCCACCTGCTCTGATTTAAAGATAGACAAGGCGGTCTGCAGAGTCAAGTTGCATGATGGAGGCAGCCCCGTGGCCATCAAAATCTGAGAGATTTCAGTGCTGTTCCCCTCTGAAAGAGGAGATGACAGTCAGGCTATTGATGCTGAAGTGGGTAATTTTAGCCCAGGCACACGTGTTTTGTGTAACTTCATCAGATGTTAACAGATGGGCCCTTCCATGGAGAGGGTGGATGTCTTCCTACCTCTTCATTGCAGCTTTGCTGCTCGCGAGTTAAAACCCCCGTGTTTGTTCAGGCTGTGCTTATCGTTCTCTTTCTGCTGCTCCCTCCCTCCCTCCCTGGGCTTTGTGCTACTGGAACTTCAAGACCCAAAGGATTAAAAGATTGTGTCTTGTGGCTGTGCCATGCAGAAACCCTGCTGTTCACTGCTTCTCTGATGTGTGGGAAGTTTGAGGAGAGAGATGTGGGTTTAAAAGAGGAAGAAAACTGTTTTATAGATGCTTTTTATTTTTTTAGCTTGTGTTTCCTTTCAGTTTGCTTTGTGTCCTGTAGGACTCTGCTCAGTTTCCCATGCCTAGGCAGTTTAATTTTTTCTTTTCTCTTTTACCATAAGGATGGGAAGAAATTAGTTCTCCCATAATGGTTTCTTCTCTTCTCCCCTCCTGGCTGGGGAGGACAGGACCAGCCACTGCTCTCTCTGTGTCTTTGGGGCAGGACAGCATGGTCCCTGTGTCCCTCAGCCCATGAACCTTTTGTTTTGTTAAACAGGCTCTCTCAGTTGCCTCTGAGCCTGTTTTCTCACAAAGCTGATTCCTGTGGATTGGAAACAATGAGGACTGATTTGGTATTTAAAATTGTCCTGAAACTTTAGCTCAGTCATGAAAGTTGACCTCCAAAGTGTCCCTGCCACGGAGCAAGTTTGCTGGTGGAAGGTACAAACACAGAACTATGAACAATAAACAACCTATGACCAAATTGTTTATGGTGCTGAGCTGTGATATCCTGTGAGCACACATAATAATGGATTTATTTATCTACTCAAACTGAAAAGTGGGTCTGATTTCTTGATTGCTTCCTAATGCCAGACAGTTGGATTACAGGAATTTTCATGAAAAACCTCCGCATCCTATCTAAAGTTTCAACATTTTGATTGTAGAAACAGCTGGAGGACTACTTGACAGATATCCTGAAAATGCCAATGTACAGGAACTACCATGGAACAGTAAGTAGAAATTAGTTTTGCTTGATTGTCTAAGGAATATTCACTTTACAAATGCTGAATTCATTGGAAGAAGACATGCAGCTTCTGCAAGAAACATTTTACAGCTGTTTTGTGAGCATTTTGTCTTAGTTGATTTCTCCAACACAGATGTAATATGATTAAAACCAAAGGAATGACTCAGAGGCTGCTGGTATAACACAGTGATAACCTCCTTAAGCTAGTTCAGTCCAGAGAGCTGGTTGTACATGTGTGATGTAGTGAAATTCTGTTTAATTCTGCAGACTGCTTAAGATGATAACTTAAAGTTTTAAATACTTCAAAAATTGGAATCCAAGCCATTTTTCTAACTGCTTCTTCAGTCTGGGCTTTGTGTATGGTTCTGGATGCAGATTTGTCTCAGGTTTCTATTCTGTGCAGTTTCCCAGGACATTAGACTGAGACTGTGTGGGATATCCAGAGAGGTGAATGAGTATTTTGTCAGTTCCAGAGGGAGATGGTAGTTGCCTTATTTCCCCCAGTCAACACTCTTTGGAATGAGGAGAGATGTCAAATCCAGCTTCAGGCCTATTTTAAGCAAAAATATTTCTTTTGAAATTCATCCTTGAATGTTTCTTCAGAAGTCCTCACCTGTCAGCCACAGCTGTGACATCTCTTGGAGATAGTAATTTATTTCCCCTTTTTTTGGCTGCATAATGACTGTGTTACTTCATCTTTTGTATTACCAGCAAAATCTGATGCACGCACTGAGTAGCTGCCAAGTTTAGTGACATTTCTGAGCACAGAGTGATAACTGGGAACACCTGGTTTTCAAACAAGCCAGAAATACAGACTGAACTTTGGGTTTCTGTAGCAGCCAGTTTGCTTCCACTTTTGCTGTTGTTAGATATTCTTCTATTTTGCAGGATTTCCATTGTGTAGAGATGTTGGGCAGGTCATAGCTGGATGTTATGTATAAAAACTTAAAAACTGATGCAGAGCTCAGTGTTGAGCACTGCCTGTTCCATGGGACATAGTGCTCATTGGGGGTTGACAATTGCACTCTGGATGGCAACAAATCTTCAGGCTGAGGAAGCTGCATTCCTTAGAGTGATTCTTTAGGGGACAAGGCTGTGGAGCTTAATTCCAATGCAGTGAAGAGCTGTGTTAGTCTGCATGTGGAAAAGATTCATCTTTTGTTCTAGAAGCAAGATTGGGATAACTTGGCAATTTTGATCAGTAGCATATGCAGAGCGGGGGAGAGTTATTTTACAATGTGGATCCATCTTGTCACTTTTAGGCAGGCGTTGCCTTTTTCAAATATTTTGGATCATTTCTGCTCCAATGAGCACGTGGGTGATGCTTTGGCCAGGCTGTGGTTTGAGACGGGCTGCACAGTAGGGGCCAGGAGAGGAGATGGGAAGCCCTGCCTTCCCAGGCAGCTGTGGGGTGCTCCCTCCTGGGCTGAATCGCCCTTCTGTCCCCAGCCCCCGCAGCCAGATGTCCCTTTTTGCACATAAATTCTCAGTTTATTGTTGGCTTTCACTGGATTTGGCCACAGAGAAGTGTTCAGGGAGGCCTTTGCTGCCCGTGGTGGCGGCACGGGTCCTGCAGGCGATGCTGGAAGAAAGCACAGGGAAGGAAGTGCTTCCTTTAAAACAACACCCAAACAACCCCCCCGTTCTCAGATGAGACTGAAGTAAGAAGTTCTGGCACTTTCCCTGGAACTGTCTTTGTCCTCCTGAGAGCAAAATGAGGGCTTTGCTCTTCCTGTGGTTGAGAAGTCTTTTGTGCAGATGCTGACAAATGCTGTAACTGTCTTAATCTTGGAGCACATTTGGACTTCTTTGTGTTCCTCTCACCAAATCCATGCACTGAGGACTTTTTTAAAATCGGGAACTCTGTTAAATGAGGCATGCAGTTTCAAAGGTGAGACCTGCCTGGAGTTTAACCCTTGGACATTGTGAAGAGTCTGCTTGGGTCAGTAGCAGCTCTGAGATGTTTGTTTACATCTGAGCTGCACAGTTTAATGAATTTGCTTTTTTACTTCTTTTATTTTGCATTTGTGGTTAATTTATTATTTGCCAGTGAGAACAAACGGCTTTATATGCTGTCTGGAGAATATGCCATGCACTGAGACAGTTAAGCCTGCGAGTCAGGCTTGTGGTTTTGCAGACCTGAAGTCTTTGGTTGGGTTAAGAATCAGGACCACAATGGCAGCATGGCATTATAGAGGTTGTACATCATCTAGCTCTTTAGATTTAATATTTTTTTTAATTATTTGATTTATGTGATTAAATCTCATGTCTTCTTCTTTCCAAAATCTTTTTATAGTACTTTTGTACTGAAGTGCTTTAAGACAATTACCGTTAAAATGAATGTTGTGGGAATCTCAGTGTGTTAACTGTTCACACTTTTTTTTTTCCTGAAAATTGGAAGTTGGAGGAATATAGCCTCAAAATGTTGAGGCTTAATTGGATTCTGTATAAAAATTTTATTAATTGGACCCTATCATTATTTTTGTGCAAGCTCCCATACTTAAAAGATTCCCAAGCAAAATGAAAAGTAAGATTTGATTTGAGTGTGTGTATGTGTGTAATATTTTGCATGAACTTTATAGAGTAAAAGCCTCATCTTAAGTGAAAGCAACACAATAAAGAACAGCTGAGAAGTGACAGTGTCCACTGGTTTGCCTTTGATACAGCCCTAGGATCTGCAGACCTTTGTGGAGCTCCCCACGCAACCCGTCAGTATTTCTAGCTCTTGCACTTGAAATGCAGCACATTTAGGGGTTTTTAAATTGTATTTTGTATAAGCAAATTTTTTTGTGTGTGTGTAAGAAATTGTGCTGAACAATATCATTCTGAAGAGTAATTCCACGTTATTGCTAATGACCGGTGCTAATCAACTTTTGATACATTTCTGAACCCACTAAATAAAGAACAAGAGTCAAAATGAAAAAATATAGCATAGAGAAGCTGAATCCTTTCTGAAATGCAGATGCTCTATGAAATTTTTACTTATATAAATCATGCATGCTCCACGTTGCTGTCAGGACGGGATGTGTTTGAACACCTTGCAGATGATTCTCCACCTTCCACAGCTTGTCCTTCTGCAGCCCATGACTCCCATCCACCTTTTTATTTTTTTTTTTCATTGCCACAACAATGTCATTGAAGCTGCATTCTCCAGGCCCATATCTCATACCAAAAACATCCTGCTGTGGGTCATTCTGAAACCAGAGTGGGATGCCAGATCCCAGGGAGGCAGCTGGGCAGTGCAGGAATTCCAATGTGACGGAGATGAAAGCTCCTGGCTGCCCTGCCTGCCTCTCCCAGCCTCTCTGTGAATGATGAGCACCTCAGATGAGGCACTGTGACAGTAAAAATAGCTAATTGTAACAATAAATCACTCCATCAGATGTTTTGCACTATGCTGAGGAATTTTCCTTTTAACTGCAGGAATTTATTTAAGGTTTTTTTTTTACAAAACATTGCTTGATCAATGTGTTGGATGTGCTCCTGTCATTGCTGTTCCAGAGACTGCTTGGCTGAAGAACAGGTTGCTTTGCTGCCAGACAATCTTTCTTTCTCTTTTATGTAGTGGTAGTTCTGTTTCTGCAAGAAATTTTTCCTCTTGGTTTTCCTTTTTGCATCTTTGAGGACAATTATTTCTCTGCATGCAGTGCTCCTCAAATCCCTGCCAGCTTTCTGGCTCCAGCCAGCACTTTCAAAGGGTTTTGACATTTTTATGCTTTCTTTTGCATGCGTGCCCACTGTGAGAGAGATGTCTGGGTTTCTGATTTGTCTGATTGGAAATGCCATGAAGAAGTTAAAATGGAATCCAGACAAAGAACTGGCCTGAGAATTTGCTTGGGACCTCTGATAAGGGCTTGTAGGGTACACTGGATTTCTTCAGGTTCTTCCCACCCTGCTCTGAGTGTTGCTGCAGAAACAGCTGAAACATTTGATGTCACCTGGTGCTGTTCCAGAACACTTAGGGGGAGCAGAGAGAGCAAAATGGTTGGTAAAATACCATGGAATGACTTGTTCTAACTGCTTTCTGAAAACAGGCTGAAATCACCCTAAAATCAAAGCATTAAAATTGCCTCAGCTGAGTAGAGGTTACTTTATGTCTTTGAGATACTCAGAGGAAAGCAGCAGAGTCTTTTGTTCTTCTCCATGGCCTTGGCTGATATGAAAATTTTGGGAAGGTCCCAGGAGCAGCTGAGCATGAGGAGATGGAAGGATCTTTGGTACTACTGCTGTTTTCTGGGGAAAAAAAAAATGATGATATTAGGAATGTAGCCTGTGCTAACCTCATCATGATGGTGAGGTAGACTTTGGCTCTAAATTTACTGATACTTTTTGTTACACTTGGTGTCTGAAAATGTCTTTTTAGTGGTCCACCCATGTAATTCCTGTGCAAAATTGGACTTTGCTGATGAGGGCCCTGAGGCTGGCTTGCCAGAGATGCCAGTGGCCCTTTTCCTTGAGAAGAGAAAGCCTTTCCTTGGAGTTGTTGTGGGTATGAGAGTTGTGGGCATATCCTGAAGATGCAACCAAGGCTGTCTCCTGTCCCAGCTGCCAGTCGGGTTCATTGCCAAAATGTGCTGTTAGAGGTTCCCTCTGGCTTGCTGCCTGGCCAAAGGGACAGTGACACCTGCCCTCACTCTGCCCTGAGCACCTTTCTGGACTTGGACAACTTGATGTGACAATAAATTAGCAGTGCCTAGGTGCAGACAAGGTTCTGCTGTGCAAGGCAGCTCCTTCGCAGGGCTGTGCCTGCCCCAGCCCTGTCCTGCACAGGACACCCTGGGAGAATATTTCTCCCTGCTAAAGGGGCCCAGGGCTAATACCCAGCAGACTGCCAGGAATGTCCCACTGTGCCAAGAAAAGCCTGCTCAGTCGAAATTGCCCAGTGTCCTATTTTTAGAGGTGAATGTAATCGTGCTGAGCTTTCTCACTGGCTTTGCTCACTGTTATGTTCCCTGCAATCCCTGCTGAAGCAGGAGGAGCCGTGAGCAGGCAGGTTCCTTGGCTTTGGGATTTGAACTTGCTCTCCTCCTGCCCCACTGTGGTTTTCCTGTGGATTTTCTGTTCTTGGAACCAGATGGGCAGTGATGAGTGTCCAGCACTGACCTGCTGCAGTGGCCTTGGAGGATGCTCATGGGTTGTGGGCCTGAACCCTCCTGTGGTGTCTCCATGGGGTAGGGGGCTTAAAGGGTGTTCCCAGCTCTGGGCATGTGTCCTCATTTCCTTTCCAGTCTTTCTGTGAGGGTCCCTGGAGTGAGGAGAGGATTCTGGCAGCCAGCCAAGATCACACAGACCCCTGAACGTGTCAAACTCGAGTCCTTGTTTCAGCCAGAGATCCAGGAGGGACAGTACCAGGGAGTCCCTGTGATACTTTTGAGTTTAATTGTCCTGAAACGTGTTCTCCAATGTACATCTAAAATAAGTGAACAGAAAACCCAACCAAAATACTTTCCTTGATCTTCTTGAAGATGCTTAAGTGATGGTGGAATCCTGCTCAGGACGTTCTGTAGGTCTTTATGGCAAGTCACTTAGATGAAGCAAAAAATACTGTGGATTTCAGGGTCATAAAGATGGGGGAATCTCTTTTTCTTTCCCAGATGGAGTTTGTTGGAGTAAGCCAGCTGTCATTCATCCATGACCTGGGACCAAAGGGCATGTGAGTTGTGAGCTGTGTCTTTGTCAGTTATGATTCACTAAGAGCATGGCTTTATACATAAGTACTGTTAAAATTAATAGCTTTCCTTTTTCAGTGCTAACTGACTGGGGAATATTTTGCCATCTAGATATGAAAAATTATTACTGTTCAGACAGAAATGCTACACTTTGGAGAAATGTTTTTAAGAGTGGGCTGCTTTGTGAGACAGCGCTTACGGGGTTTCCGCTCTTCCCTCCCTGCAGCCTTCCCTGTTGAGCCACCTAATTTTCTGCTTCCTGTGCTATAAGCTGTGACCCTGTGCTTCTTAAAACTCCATTATTTTCTTCTGGGGGGGTTATTTTTGCCCTTCATCCAGTTTTCAGGGCACAGCACAGAGGCTGCTTGGGCAGAGTTGGAGGTGACAGGAGCCAGCCCTAGGCACAAGGGCTGGGGGTTCAGCAGGCACCCCCTCCAAATTCCCCCTGCACCTCAAGGTGAGCCACATCCCCCACCCTGACCCTGTTCCTGTCCTTGCAGAGAAGGGTTCATCATGAAACGCTCCGGGGGCCACCGCATTCCTGGCCTGAACTGCTGTGGCCAAGGGAGGATGTGCTACCGCTGGTCCAAAAGGTACTGCTGGGGTGGCAGAGGTGGGCATGCCACGTGCTCCCAGGGCATGCAAAAGTCCCCATTTGTCTTTTTCTCCCAAAAAATCTGTGTGAGAGAATCTTGTTTTTTTACGAAAACCACAGATTTTCAGGTTGGAAGGGCCTGTGGGCTATTCCCTGCCTCACCCTTCTGTCTGGGGGGGTTGTTTTTTTTCTCCTTGGGAGTTCACAGAAGGGGCATGTTACTCCAGAGAAAATCTGGGATTTCCTAGAGCTGACAAAAATGGCAGTGACCTCCTCCAAGACTGTTCACAGCTTTCCCTGCTGCAGGAGCACAGGTGGCTCTGTGCCTTCAGGAGGGAATGTGGCTGGTGACCTGCCCTAGGCAGATTTCAGCCTGGCTGTCTGAACTTTCCTTCCTTAATTTACAAAATGAAAATCAATTAATTAAAGCACTCTTTGGACTGCTTCAGGGCAGGAGCAAATCAGACATGACCTGCAGCACTAAGGAGCTGTTTGGTGCAATTAACCTTGGCACTAAATACATTGCCTCTTGCTTATTACTGCAAGTATTGAATCCCAGTGTTTTCTCCTGTTCCCATGTCCCTTCCTGCTGCAGACAGACATCATTTGCTGTGCCCATCCCTTTAGCCCTCTGTGTTAGGTCTCGGTGTTGCTGGGGGCTGCAGCACAGGGAGATGTGTGCTGTGGGGGAGTACATGTGTTACCAGCCAGCCTCCAAAAAATGCAGGGTGTATTTCCTGGAGCATGCCCTTCCCAGGCAAATCTTTCCATTTGAAAATCCAAATAGACCCTATCTGCCTTACAGCAACAATTTCTTAGTTGATGGAGCTTCCCCAGGCACCTGGGGAACCTTTGCACCTTTGGATTTTAGCATCACCCATGGGCTGTCCCTAGTTTTATCTTTAATAGTTCTGTTTTCCAACCAAACCTTTCTGCATTCTTGTAAGAAAAGGTCCTATTTCTGCACTGTCTTTCCAACATTTCTTAATTTAGGTTTACAGAAGATCTCTATAATGAGGGCACAAGGACATAAAGATGTGACCTTCCTTCAGGTCAAATCATTAAATGGTCACCAATTATTCTTCTTTTTTATGGGAAAAATGCCTTTTCCTCTTGATGCTCTTCAGTTAACCCTTTATTGTGTTGTCCAGAGCTAAAACTGTAGTGGGAACAGTAGCACATCCAGCTCTGATGGATCTCCATTTTTCTTAAGAAGCTAGAAGGGGGGTAGGAGGAGTATTTGAGTGGGATTGTGTACAGAATATCACAAATGAGTCGCTAAATTCCCAGCTTGGCCCACTGGGACTGATAGTTTATGCATCAATAAATAAGCAAATAACAGTAATATTTCTCAGAGAGGGTTATTTAAAGGAAGGATTTTAGGACACGGAGGAGGATAGTGGGGTGAAGCTGTGAATGGGCACAGGCAGGACTCCTCAGGCACGTAGAGCTGCCTGGGAAAAACAGAAGGGAAAATACTTGGAAATACACCCTGTGGGATGATTGAGAGTGAAATTATGGGCCAAATAAAGAGGGGAGGTATTTTGGCACCAAATGAGAGGTGATACCAGGTAACTCTTTCAGGGCCCTGAAAGCAAGAAAAAAAAATTATGAGATCTAATTAAAAATTATGGGAAGTAGATGAGGAGCTGAGGCTGTTACTAAAGATACAAGAATGAACAGATTTTTGCAGTGTTTTGTGCTGCTTTGTGTGCTTCTGAGTGTGCAGAAGAATGAAGAGAAGGTCTGGTGATGGAGACCTGTGTGGGACAGAGGGGGCTGGTTACCCCAGCTACGCTGCAGGGAGAGAAAAAATTAGAAATGCCATTCACAGTAAAAAATGTGTTTTTTCCCAGAGTTGCCTTCAGGCTACAGTATTTATGTAAAACCTGCCGGTCATCCCTCCTCATGTGTTTCTAACAGGGTGCCTGTTGCTTGGCAATAAAAGCTTTCCAAAATGCCTTGTTCATATATTTTGATAGGAGTGAAAGTGATCCTAGCATTAGAATTAATGTTAGAAATGTCAAATAACTCCCATATAGCATACAAGCTGAATAAAAATCAGGGATGGAGGAATTTTTGTTGCACCTTGCCTTGTGCTCGGAGTTTTATGACCAGGGAGGTTCTCATGGGTTTTCTTAAAAAGGGAACCTGTATTTTTAAAGACTCCTGTAAGAAGGAGTTATTTACATATCTCTAAAAAGTCCTGTATTGAATTAAAACTCATTACCCAAGTTCATAAAATAAACATGTTTCTGCTCAAGAAAGCCACCCCCTGGTCTAGCTCCTGTGAAAAATTTTTACTATTTTGTAGATTTCCCTGATAAATGATATGCACATATTTTGAAGAAGCACTTTTCCATTTTACTAGCTCTTTTTGTGGCTCATGAGGCCTGGCATGGGTGTGAGATCCAGGTGACGTGGTTGCTGTGTCTGTACAGGTGGCTGGTGGTGAAGGACTCGTTCCTCATGTACATGAAGCCTGATTCAGGGGCCATTTCCTTTGTCCTGCTGGTTGATAAGGAATTCAGCATCAAGATAGGCCAGAAAGAAACAGAAACTAAATACGGGTTGCAGATTGACAATCTCTCCAGGTAAGAAAACAACTTTGTTTATCCCCTTTTAGTTTGCTTTTGCATTTTTAAAGAGGAATCGATGCTGCTCTGCAGGAGGGGTTAACAAGCCTGGGTGGCTGCTGCTGGTGTGCTCAGACCTGCTGGGGATTTGGCCCTAATGCTGATTATTTCCCATGTCTTAATGAGGCATCTGTTTGCCCCTGTTTGTCCATCCCTGTGGTTATTGCTGGGGCCTGGGGGCACGGTGCATGCTGAGTTGCACAGTCTGGTTTGGCAGCAATTGCTTAGGTAATTTTTTAGGCACTCTGTTCTCTTTATGCTGCAAGCAGGGATGTTTTCTTCTGCATCCCAGTGGAGTATTAATCAAAAGACGTGCTAGTGGGGGATAAAGAGATATTTCATGTTTTTATGTTAGCACACAGTATAAATTCATCTCTCAAAAAATACAACATTAGCTGGCTCCAACTCCCAAGCTAAGCTGGTGCTAATAATTGAAACATGGGTGAGTTTTTCCTGCTTGGCAGTGCAGTACTGTTAGTCACTCAGAGCAGCTCAGTGCTGTGCATTCTTTTGCAAACAAAACAGCGAAGTCCCTACTTTTTGTGTAAATAATATATGACTGGTACAGTTGCATTTACTAACATGGACAGGCGGCAAGGAGCAGCCCAATTAAATGGAAATTACTTCAGCCTCCTTCCTGCATCATGTGTTCTTGCAGGTCATTGATTCTGAAGTGTAACAGCTACAGACATGCCCAGTGGTGGAGGCAGGGCATAGACGAGTTCATCCGGAAACACGGCAAGGACTTTCTGACAGAGCATCGCTTCGGCTCCTACGCGGCCGTGCAGGAGAACACCCTGGCCAAGTGGTGAGCACCTGTTACCTGCCTGCCCTCAGCACCCCAGCTCTGATGAACAAAGCTGGTAGTCTTTGGTAGCTGTGGGGACTGGTGGTAATTAAAGAAGTTGCAAAAAAAAAAAAAAAAGAGGTTTTCTTCACTGGGGACAGAGTAGCAGTGCTGGTGGCAGGAGCTCTGCGTCACAGCTCATTGTGTTACGCAGCATCGAGTTCCGTTTAAGTTCAAATGTGTTGGGTATTTGTCATTGTAAGGATAAAGAGAAGAAAAGGGAATCAACAAATGCAGTTCTGGGTGTAGTCGGAGGGTGGCTGGGCTTTATGCGCACAGCAGCCCCTGAGAAATCCTTCTGTCCCCAGTGTGACCTGACTGCACTAATCCATTCCCAGAAGTGCCTCAAAAACTGGATTCTAGCTGGAAGCAGACCAGTGCTTTCCCTGCAATGTCTGCCTTGCAACAACCTCTGAGTACTTTCTGTAAATCAAAGGAAACACCATTCCATCATCCTTTCCTGAGAGACAAACCTGGCTTGCATGTAAAGCAGAACCCAGGAATATTGTGTGAAGTTGGCAGAAGTGCCAAGAGGTACTTAATATTCCCTTCTTGTGCTGTTTCATCAAGCTACTGATAGCAGCACTGAATTCTCCCTATGTGTTGTCCTGATTCTGGAAATTAGGATTGTGTTTGCTTTCGAGAAGAGAACATAAACGTCATTAACACAGAACCCCATCGCTCTTCAGCTGTGTACTTTGTTTAATGAAGGGGAGGAAGCATAACTCTGCACTCTGTTTGCTTTTGCAGGTATGTCAATGCCAAGTGGTACTTTGAAGACGTTGCAAATGCCATGGAAGCTGCCAAGGAAGAAATTTTCATCACAGATTGGTGGTTCGTACTGACATGTTTGGGTGTTGCCCAGCTGTCTCTCCGGGGACGCTCCCGACAATGCGGCACTGTTCGGAGCCCTACAGTATGGCAGCTAGCCCTGCAGCCAGATGGTTTGGCAGCACACCCAAACCTCTCCTTGTGTTGTATTCAAAGGCCTTTTCAGGAGGGCTGGCAGCAAAAGCGCACGCTTCAGATCAACAGCTTGGTTGTCTTCCTCCATGGAAATGCCTGAAACCGCAGGGAGACATCACCTGAACTGCAAAATGAAGGGCTCCTCAGGAGTAAATAGCTGCAAATCTGAGGGGCATGGGTGTCTTGCAGTGTTTCAGAGAAAAGGGATGCTCAACAGTGCTCTTGCTATGGGATCCTGCATGGGATCCCCTTTCAGCTCCTCCTCACTGCCTTAGGAAGCCTCATGCCAGCAGTGAGAGCATCTTGTGGATGTGTCCTTTTGATCTGCTCTTAAATGGGCCAGCTAAGGAAGGAGGGCAGTTTTGCCACCCTTTCTGAGCTGTGTGTCTGCCAAAGGGCCTGGCTCTGCCCACTTGTTACCTAATTTATGTGTTTATGCAGTGCTCTGGTTCCTGTTTGTGGCAGGAAAAGGGTGCTCTCAGACTGGACAGAGTCTCTTGGCTGGCTGCTGGTTGTGGCTGCCCATGTCTTGCCTTTCTAGAGTTTAATCTGCCTGAGCCAGCCTGGACCATGGGCATGGGAGATTTCTAAGACATGACTCAGATTTCATGTTCACCTTAGGCATGTCTCTGTGCTCCTCTTTCTCTGTCTGTGAAATTAACCTCTGGCTGCTTATCTGCTGCCTCTGGGATCTGGGAGAATTCATTTCTAGGGGGAAATTAGGAGAAAACTACATACCATGTTAGCATTTGGTGGGGTAAATCTGTTTCCTGCCATGACCACAGTTAAGCCTAATGCTCATTGATTCCCTCTATGCAACATCAGGTGGCAGTTCAAGAGCATCCCATTTCAGACCCATTGTCTCTTACTTAGTGTTTTATTTAGACAATTGTTAAAGTATCATGGAATTCCAAAACCTAAAATTTTATGTATAATACAAAAATAGGATGTAGCAATATGCTTTATCCAAGCCCAAGCTGCCATGCTTGGTACAAAAGTAGAGGAATGGAATTCTATCACCTTGCTGTGCAGGAGTTAGAGATTGCTTAACTGTTTCTTGTAATCCTTGAAGTGATAAAATGACCTGTTGAGTCATTTTGCTTTGTCTTTAGGCAGCAAGGACAATTCAGCACAAATCTGTCCTGTTCAGATATCTCAGGTGCCAGGAGAACTGAAATCCCAGTCTTACTTATTTTTTATGTCTACATATTTCTTTCAGATCTACCTTGGGGTTTTCTTTTGGTGCATCTTTCTTTTGCAGATAGAGTCCAAATTTCCCTGTTGTTGAACATCACTGTTCAACCTGGTCTCATGGGTTGTTGAATATGAGGATGAATGTGCTGGACATGTCCCCTGCCCTTTGTAATGCTCAGTTATTAAAGAACAAAGAGCAGGATATTGGAGAATGCATCACTCTGGGACATGAGCTTTCACATCCACTTTATTTAAACTTCAATTCCTTTGCTTCCCAAGTTGGTTATTTAGGCCAGTGTTTTGTTTGCAGGTTACATCTGCTATGTTTTTTATATACCTTTGTTTTCTTAGGCTGAGCCCAGAAATCTTCATGAAGCGACCGGTGGTGGAAGGGAATCGCTGGCGGCTGGACTGCATCCTCAAGAGGAAAGCGGTGAGTGAGCTCCAGCTGCACCCTTCACCCTGCACCCACCCAGCCAGGGGATCATACTGGGGCTGGGGCACTTCCACCATTCATTTCGGTAGAGATGAGCGTTAAACCCTCACATCAGATGGCCTTGGAAAACCACATGCTTTGATTTTTTCCCCTCATTTGGGTTTGGAGGAGCTCAGAGGCAGAAGGGTAGATCCTCTGATTGCCCCAGGTTTGGGTCACTTCAGCCTTGCTTTACAACTGCCCCAGTTCCTGGTAGGGTCAAAGACCTGCTGCTGTCCATGCTTTTCATGTGATTTATGTAATTTAGAGTACAGGGAATGCTGAGCACTTTGTGGTGTGTTTATGAGTGTGGGCTGTGCTCCAGCTGTTCACACACCCTGCGATAGCACCGGTGCTAAAAAGAGGTTGCCCATATCAGCAGTGAGTCACAGGGAATTATTCTCATGGCTGGAAAACCTCTTGGACTGTTGCTGTAGTAGAAGGGCAGAAGTCCACATGGACACAGACTTTAAACTAAAAGGGGGAAGCTTTAGATTAGATATTGGGAAGTAATTCTTCCTGTGAGGGTGGTGAGGCCCTGGCACAGGCTGCCTAAGAAATTGTGGCTTCCCCATCCCTGGAATTGTTCAAGGCCAGGTTGGATGATACTCTGAGCAACCTGGTCTAGTGGAAGGGTCTCTGCTCACAGGGGTGGAACAAGATGGTCTTGAAGTTTCCTTCCAAGCCAAACCATTCTGTGATTCTGTGACATGCTGAAATAGTCTTTGACTCTCTTCCCTTTCAAGCCAGTTGTCATCACAGTCCTCACCCCTCCACATACCTAGATAAAAATGAGAGCTGTGTGTCTGACTGTTGTTGATTTGGAATTACTCTTGTTTTCTGGCAAAAATAAACTGCCTACAAAGCATCACTCACTCAGAGGAGGAATTTGGCTTCTTTTTGTCACATTGACATGGATTTTCATATGGCCATAAAAACATTGTGATAGAGTGGGGTCAGTCCCTGGAAATGCTTGCTCTGTCACTCGTGTGTTTCTTTGACTCAACAGGGCAGCCACAAGCTGATGTGGTGGTGTAGGGGTGAGGCTGTCCTTTCTGTGTGTGCAATGTTGCCTTGGACTCCCCTGGGTGCAGTGGATAGCGGGATATCATCCACAATTTGGAGATTGCCTTTGCTCTTGGCAGCAGCTTTATGGGAATAGGAATTCAGAATGCAGTGGAAAGTTTAGGTTCCAAGTTTAAGATGGCAAACTCTAGTGCAAGCTTTTGATCCATGCTGATTTATGGGAAGAGGAGGTGTCCCAGTGTGTGACCAGTATTTGCCAAGGTTTGGGAGGCACTTGGCACATTTGAAAGTGCTTTAACAAGAGTTTTTAGAAACTCTGCCATGGATACAATGCTGGTCACAAAAAGCATCATGTTTTTAGCACTGCTCAGTGTATTCCAGGAGCTTGTTTAGCCCTACCGGCAGAAAGAACCTCTTTGCTGGTGTTGAGTTGGTGACATCCCCTTCAGGAGGGGGATGTCTGTGTGACCTCACTGGTCATGTCATCCTGCAGGGACATTTGACTGTGGGCAACCCTCAGGGCAACATGAAGCAGCAGAACACTGAACTTTAGTGGATGAACATGATTGGAGTGAATCATACTTGTAAAATCTACCTCAAAGGATATGTGAAAGGAGCTGCTGTGGGAATGACCTGTGGAGGTGCGTTGGCATAGCTCAGACAAAAACAATAAAACCCATGCAAAGCCAGGTACTGAGTCCTTCTCAGAAAGTTGGAGAGCTTTCCCAAGCAGGCAGGTTCTACCAGGCTATGGGGTCCCCATGGAGGATTGGGAAGAGCATAATCAAGAGCAAGTAACCTCAGTCAGCATCTCCATCAGCAGACACAACACATTTACTGCCTCTTAGCTTTTCCTCCCTTCGGAAGCAGACTGTATTCACTGATGTGCCTGCATTCCATGTGTTCTTTTTTACTTCTGACAGCAACAAGGAGTGAGAATTTTTGTTATGCTGTACAAAGAGGTGGAGCTTGCCCTGGGGATCAACAGTGAATACAGCAAGCGGACACTCATGCACCTCCATCCAAACATCAAGGTAATTGCACAGGGCTGTGTGGAAAGTGTTTGCATTCAATTGTTCTTGATTGCTAGTGCTGACCCTGGTGTATTTGGGTGGGAACTGCAAGTTCAGGAGTGCTTCCCACCACTGCAGTGGGAATAGTCTGACAAGACACATCCATATAGTGATGCCACTGCATCTTCATTTCTGTAGGTTCTAGTGGAACATAAAATTGCTTAGTTTAGATTTGCCAAAGCAACTATTCGCCTTAATTGACAAGAAGTGTTTTTCGTGTGACAAGTTAATGGGGTTACATCAAATGGAAAATTACAATTTGGAAGTGTTGTCTCATTTCAGCATTTCTGCTCAAATATGAATGATGAGAGTCAACACTGGGTATTAGTGTTCCCACCACAGAAGAACAGCATTGCACTGTCTTGTGCTGTTACACTGCTGCTCTGGCACCAAGCAGAAAATCAGTTGTGGCAGATAAACCAGCAGATAAGGCTAGATCCAGTCTCCTAGACACACATACACCTTAATGAGCAGTAAGATACTTGTTATGGTAGAATAATTGATTCATTTTCACTTGATCAGTTGTCACAGTGCAGGGAAGCATCCGTTCATCGTCTTTGCAGCAAAATTGGATGACAGACACAAGCTGTGTCACAGGTTTTGGGAGCAGCCAGGTGAAATTTGGTAGCTTTTTCTTCAGGAAGCTGGTCTAGTGTCTGTAACATCATAAATAAAACTCTGAGCTTAGATGTAGAAATTAGGGTTCCATAGACACTTGTCAAAAAGAAATTTCCTAAACAAATGACAAATTTGATTTTAAGTTGGGGGAGAAAAACCACCCGACTTCTCATTTCACTTGTGTGGTGGCAACAACCAAAGAAGTGACTCAGATCACCAATATGTTGTTTTCTTTCAGAGCAGGCTCTGTGTTTGAAAGCTCAGCTATTACAGCTCAACTGCAGCAGTTTCTTTGACTATGGTCCTCTTATGAAGCTGTTGTAAGGGTGACCTATCCCAACATCAATAATCATTCCTTCATTCTGGGGAAGCACCTGCCTGCCATATGGCTGACAGAAATTGAGTAGCTTCAGTAATTAAACAGTGGATGCATCCAGTAACAACTCCAGCATTTCACCATCATGCCAAACAGCCAAAAAAGGCTGAACAGCTCTCTGCCTGGAAGGATTTAAATTTGACAACAATGCTGAGCTTGAGTGCTGGTTTCCTCACAGGTGATGAGGCACCCAGACCACGTGTCCTCCTCCGTGTACCTGTGGGCCCACCACGAGAAGCTGGTGATTGTTGACCAGTCCGTGGCGTTTGTGGGCGGCATTGACCTGGCGTACGGGCGCTGGGACGACGACGAGCACCGCCTGACCGACGTGGGCAGCGTCAAGCGCGCCAGCGCCGTCAAGTCCGTGTCCACCGCCAACCTGGCAGTAAGTGGGCTGGGTCCAGCTGGTGGCCACGGTCAGCCACAGCAGGTCTGGGCCAGGGTTGAATGGGCTGTGTCCTCTTCTGAGCATAGGGTTGGGTTTTGGAGGTTTAATGACAAATAAGTGATGAGAGGAAGGATCTAAGCATCAAATGACTCTTGAGGGCTGTGTGCTGACAAGGCCTTGCTAGGGCACAGAGATAAGAGAGCTGGGTTTCCCCTGGAGCTTGGAACAACAGCCACAATTTGAAGTCCGTGTTCTTGAAATCATAGAATCTTAGAATGGTTTGGGTAGGAAGAGACCATAAAGATCATGTTGTTCCTACCTCCATCATGGGCATAGGGGCACCTTCTACTAGACTGGGCTGCTCCATGTCCTGTCCAGTCTGGCCTTGAACACTTCCAGGGATGGGGTATCCACAGCTTCTCTGGGCAGCCTCTCTTTTCTTAACAAAACTTAGAAATGCAGAGTAAGCACTTGCAGAGTGCTCTGAAGTGTTTGTTGTTTGTGACCACAGCAGCTCCCTTGTTTGCTGAGCTTTCTGCTAACCTGTTCTGCATGCAGCCACATGTCTCTAAAAATTTGAGAGGTCTAGGTTGATGAGAATTTCAAGGGGAATAATGATCCTGAGTAAATTTATGGATCCAAATGCTGCTAATATTTAGGCTTTCCTGGCAAGTGCCTCCCCTCAGACTCTGTCTCAGAGTACAGACTCTCCTCAGAAAGTATGCCTAGTTCCCACTGAAGTGTGTCTGTCACAGAGAAAAATTTGGCTCATGGTTGTTTCTGAGCAGGAGAGACTCTAGTAGCTCTAAAGTAGCAGCTAAAGGAGACCCTGACCTGTAGCCATGTCTTGTGTCTTTTAAGTCTGCAGCGGAGTCAACTGAACGTATCCCACTTCAGCCTCAAGCTCTGGCCCCAGAGAGCCACTTGTTCGAGAGAAATGCTGATGATGCCCCAGACACATCAAAAATGAAAGGAGTAGGAAAACCCAAAAAGTTTTCAAGGTTCAGCATTTACAAGCACCTGCACAAGCACGGCATGCACCATGCTGACAGCGTCAGCAGCATCGACAGTGAGTCAAGTAAGTGATGTTCAGCTAAATAATGTATATAAAGGATGTGTGGAGGTGGTGGGTGGGTGTATGTGCACGTTCACATGATTTCTAGGGCAATGTGTTCTTTATATGGAAGGAAAGTTGACAAGTTACCTAACTATCAGAGTAATAGCTGTGTGTAGTCAACATGTAAATTTGCGTCACTGCAAAACAGAGAAGAAAGGTTTAATGTGGATTTTTTTATTTAGCTAATTAGCAATTTTCATGAGCTGTCAGATGATGTGGTACAGTGTATGTGATTCTTAATGTTTGTGTTGTTGGAAAGTGTTTGTTCCTGCAAGAGAGAATTGAATCTTTGATTTTTCAACTTGGATTTATTACAACAAGCAAATAATTTCTGAATGGGATTATCCTCTCTCACAGACTTGTGTTAAAAGCTAGGTTTTAAATAAGTTCACTTAAATGGAAATATTCCAGATTTACCCACTTGCTAGAGAGGAAAGTCTGTTCAGCAGTTGAATATTTAAATGCAGCTTTTAATTCTTGACGTTAAAGATAACTTCAGTGCTAAAATTACAAGGATCAGCTTGGCAATTGTTCCAGAACGAAATCCTTCCTGAAAGTCCTCAGCTCTGGAAGATGGGGGAACTTACTGGAATTTCCATCCCCCCCTGCAGATCTTTCTCTTGCCTCTGGCTCCTTATGGGTGTCTTGGTTGCAGTCAGCTCAGGACACTGCCACAGCTTTGTACTTCCTTATATGTGTTTGGGTTAGAACCAGCTGGCTCCTGAGTTTGGTCCTTTGCCTGGCACTCACTTGTAGTTTCAGCAAACTGACGTCTGGTTTGAGTTGCTATCTGCCAGGTGCCAGACAAGAGCAGGCACCAGGGTGGCAGAGGTGGACATGTGTTTTTGCCATGAATAGAGCATCTTGACTTTCTGCAGGTTATTCAAGCCCCACTAGGAGCCATCCGAATATAATCCAGAGTTTAAGGCCCCATCTGAAAATGTTCCATCACCACAGTGAATCCAAACAGGGGCTCACTGAGCCTCGGGAGGGTAAGTGGAGGAAGGCAGAGCTCTGGAACCCTTCAGGCTTCAGCTGCTGATGTTTTTGTACTATAACTATGGTGAGAGTGAGGTTGGGTGCCAGGATCAGCCTTCGCTGCTTGTTGTTCTCCCAGCATACTTATCTCTCCCCTGTGGGCATCCTGGCAGAAGAGCCTTCTCCAGAAACTACAAATACTGTAGCATAAATAAATAAGAATTAAAAACCCCAAAACAACAACAACAAACCAAAATCAAACAAATGAGTAAGCAAAAAATTTGCGATAATGGCAGCAGGGAACAGTTGCAGAAATAGTTCTCATTCTGGGATGTGATGATTTCAGCAACTCTCATCCTGTAAAGGAAAGAGCTTTACTGGAACTGGGAAGTTCTGTATTGGATATTTTTAAAGTAAGCCTGATGCAGGAAGACATGCAAACAGAGAGAGGAAGCAGCAGAGTGGCTCCTGCCAGTCCTATGTTTGGACAAAGACTGGAGTCCCCTCTTTTTCTTCTAATTAGGACCAAGGAAAGCACACTCACTTGAGACAGGAGTTGAGTGGTTGTGAGCACTGAGCTGTTCCCATCTCTGGACTGGTGTTGGAAGGGCCTGTCCCAGTATGGTACCTTTCCAAGATGCCTTTGAGTTCAGGAACAGAGTGAGGAGCACTTTTACAGCATCATCCTCTTGCAGACATCTTCCTCTAAGGCATTAATTGCCAATTATAAAATATTGGTTACAAAGTAGTGGCAGGCAACAAAGCATTTCCATGTGTTTGTGGAGACGTTGTGCAGTCTCCCCTGTGGCCATTCATGCTCATCATGAGTCACTGTGCAGTCATCAGAGCGCGGCACACTGAGCGTGTGTTGGCCTGTGTCCCACACATTCCCATTCCCACCCGGGCATGTCGAGTCAGTGATTCCCCAGCTCCACCTGGACTCTCACTCAAAGCTCGAGCTTCCTAAGGCAGCTCTGGTGCAAACCTGCTGCATGGCATTTCTGGCATGGCTTGGCTCAGCTCGGCGAGGTCACAGCAGCGCTGGCAGGGCTTGCTTTGTGTCCCCTGCTCTTGTGCTGCCGCCAGTGTGTGTTCTGTTGACTGTTGTAAGTTGGTTTTTCTGTGTACTAAGGGGTTTTATGATTACCTGGCGGTGTGGTTGGGTTAGGAGGAGGTTTCTGCTTGTGGCATTGCTGTATAATTACTGCATTAGTATGTGGTGCCACAGATGAAGGCTGCTCTCAGAGTCAGGAAATAATACCAGCTAACTGTTTATGGTCTAGGCCAACATTTTTGGATTTTTTAAGAGCCTGGAAAAAGTTCAGAGCACCAAAATATGTGCTCTGGAAAAGGGATCCTGTTAGGAGGGAATATCCCTGCGTGCAATATTCCTGCACAAATTTGGAATTCAGGATCCATTTGTTCAACATGTAAAATTGTATTAGAAATGACACTGCTATTTAGAAAAAAACAAAATAATACTAAGAAAACCCACAATATTTCATGAGGGAACATGAACATCTCATTCTAGATATTAAATACTACTTCAATTAGAGGAGATACAGCTAGAGAGGCAAAATAAACTCTCTAGCAGAGATAGAATTAGTTCACTATTAATGTAAAATATATGAAGTAGATGATATACATGATGTGGACTGCCATATGGGAATATTTAGGTGTTATTGAACTGGGGAAAGGCAAATGGTTGTAGGGTGATGTAGCCCAAGATAAAACTCAGCATCTGCTTTTCATTTCCATAACAGACTCCTGTATATAACCTCTTCTGATTGTATAAGAAATACTAAAATAGGGAAGAAAAAAATGCTAACATATATCCCTTGAAAGTAACAGGAGCACTAGGGAGAAACCAGCTTCAGCTGCTTGAGACTGGCAGTCCACCAGTGCTGTTCCATGGCTGTGAGTCTCTCACTGCTGTGTGCAATGGATGGCCATGACTTTGGAGCATGTTTTTGTTTTGTTTGCTGGGACAGATAAAGGATCCATCCGTAGCCTGAAGACAGGAGTTGGAGAGCTGCTTGGGGAAACCAGGTTCTGGCACGGAAAGGACTATTGCAACTTTGTCTTTAAAGACTGGGTTCAACTCGACAAGCCTTTTGCTGGTGAGTGGGAGTCTTTGCATTCCCCAAAACTTTCTTCTGCACCTTTTTGGTCTCAGATCATATTTTTCCTGCCTCCAAGCCAGAGGTAACAAGGCTGGTTTGGTTTCTAGGAAAAAGCAGCAAAACTCCCTTTGAGGAGTTTCAGGATCAATTATGCCGTTGCAGTCCAATTCATCTGCCTTGGGGGTGCTTGGTGCCATGTCCCAGAAACCTCAGTCTGAGGAGGGGGATGCTGTACTTTTCCACATTCATGTCCTTTGTCTGAGAAAGCTCAACCATGCTCCCCTGTCCCACAGACTTCATTGACAGATACACCACGCCGAGGATGCCCTGGCATGACATCTCCTCCGTGGTGCACGGCAGAGCCGCGCGCGACGTCGCCCGGCACTTCATCCAGCGCTGGAACTTCACCAAGGTGGGTGTGGGTGTCACTGCTGGAGGCACAGAGATAAGCACAGCCTTGCCTCGTCCCCCTGCCCTCTGAAGGCATCTGTTTTATTTCCTCGTGTTCAGATATGTTGCAAGCATTTTTTCTTTAGCTGATGCAAGCATTTTTTCAAGCATTTTTTCTTTATCTGTTTTTTTCCCCCCTGTGCAGATTATGAAACCCAAATACCGGTCCCTGTCCTACCCATTCCTGTTGCCAAAATCTCAGCAAACTGCTAATGAGTTGAAGTATCAGGTGCCTGAGGCTGTTCCTGCCACAGTCCAGGTGGGTGTTGGTGGTCTCCTGCTCACGTTCTCCTCAGAGGGCTTGTTCTGCATCCTCCCAGGAAGTTTGAATGCCTGACAGACTCTCTGCAGAACTTGAATTATAAGATGCAAAACTCTTACCTAATTCTGCTCACAGATTAGGTGATCAGATCCTCAATTGCAATAGAATAATGCAACTCTTTTAGAGAGGCATTAATTTATATGTCCACCTTTGAGGTAAAGGGACTAAAGTGTATGCAGTACTCAAATGGTGGGAACACTCTGACTTTGCATAGCTGTGTGGTTTAATGGTTTGTTTTCTGCTGTTCTTTGTCTGACACCTAACACTTGGGCTTTATGATTTGAGAAGGCCTGATGGGTTGAGGTTACCCACTGAGGATTTATCTCAGATCTTAGAGCAGCCTGCCAAGCCCTGACGCCTTGCTCAGACGGGTGGTGGACAGTGAGAGCCCAGCATTAAGTGGAGTCTTGAGGCTGTTGCTTTCTGCCTTGAACTTCATCTGCACTTTATTATGCAGCCCTGCCACCCCTGTGGGTCCTCTGCAGTTCCACACAGTCAGCCCACAGTCTGATTTGTGACAATTGGTCTCAATCAGTCAGAATTGCCAAGATAACTGTTTAAAAGCCTAGCTTGCTCTATCAAGTGCACATACTTGAATATTGCTGTTACCCAGCAGAAATAGGAACTTGTTGAAGAGTACAAAGTCAAAATAGTTATGCTGAAGCAGCAAAACCATTGTGTGTCTATGTGGATGAAAGATGTATGAAGTAAGAGCAGTTAGACCAAAACCAGGAAAAATGCATGACTTCGCTCTTTGTAAGGAGTGGTCTGCCCAGATGACAGCACTGCTTGGGGAAGCTTAGTAAAATAAGATGCTTTTTTCTGGGTTTGTGGGTTGCCAGGGCATTGTCTGCTCCTCTCTGTGTGGTGTGAGGGATGGGCTGCACAGGGATCTTGTGTCGGGGTTCTGGGGTGTTTTACATCAGCCTCCAAAACAAGGTTTCCAGCTTGCTGGGAAGTAGTTCTCTTCAGGCATCATCCTGTTCCCTGTGGCTGTAAATGCCTCCCTGTCTGGATCTGACACCAGCTTTTTGGGAAATCTTGTTCTCATGGAAGCGAAGGGGCTTGTGTCCCCTGAGCACACTTTAACTGCAAGATAAGCCACAACTTCTAAATCACGGGGTTTGCTGTAGCAAAAAGTTAAGCTCTGCTGATTACAGAACTGGAAGCAGTTCCCAAAGGAGAAATTAAACTGAAAACAACCTAGATCCAGCTTCTCTTCAGTCCAGCTGCAGAGCTGCTGGCTCAGGGGCATCAGGCCGTGGGAGAGCAGGGTGGAGCTCAAACGGTGACTGCAGAATCTGCAGGCTCTGGTGCTGAGTGATGGGTGAGCAGTTGGAAAAGCAGCCTGGCCACCACATTGCTGAGGCATTGCAAATAATTGATACATCCAGGAAATGAGGGGCTGCTCTCAATGATGCCATAAACAGCAAAAGGAGAGCTGGTTTGTCTTGTAAATTATTCATTTGAAACTACCTTGCTCATTTCTTATTTATGCATCTGTCAAAATAGCCCTGCATATAGACGGATAAATAAAACTACATGATATTAGGCTGCAAATGTGTTGTCCTGAAATGTACCAGTCTTCCAGGTATGAGAGAAAACTGGTGGGGAAAAGCATTTGCAGTGCCAAGCCTGGTGGAAGCAGTGAGGGGGGCTCCTCTGCCCAGGCTGGGGCTCCCTGCCTGGGTGCAGGTCCCCAGGCTGCTTCAGCTGGGTTATGATTTTTAGGTGACCTCAAGCTCCAAGGCAGGGATTTGCATGCCCATAGTAAAATTTTGACTGTCTTCTCCCTAATACCCACAGTGGCCTTGTTTCCCTTGGTCCCCAGGTGACAAGTTCCCTGAGTATCCCTGCAGTCCCACTGCGAATCCACAAGTGACTCAGTCTCTCCTGCTGATGGTGGAGGTTTCAGATTTGGCTGCTGCAGGAAGTGGGGACAGGGGAGGACACCTGCAGCCTGGATCTGAACTCCCCCTCCTGGCTGACGTTTTCTGGAGTTCCCAGGGTGTGCATCAGGGCATCCCTGTGTGATTTCTCCTTTTCTGCAGGGACAGAAATATCAACCTTTTGCCTGTCCAGTTTATTAATTTTGGAGCAGAGGGCTCAGGTGCTCCCATCTCCTCTCAGTGGTACAGTTCTGCACAGAAATAAGCAGATATCCTAAAATATTTTACAGACTTTTTATCCAGAAAAACTAGACCAATATTCTTGTTCTTCTTAGTATTGAATCCTTTGGCTGGCCAGCAGCCAATTCCCTATTATCTCCACTTGAGTACTGTGTAGGGATTTTACAGGCAGAAGTTACTGCCCCAAGGTAAAATCCAGCATCCCAGGACTGTCCTTGGCTGTGGGATGATTGAGGAAAGCCTGGCTGTTGGGTTTCTTGTTTCTGACCTTGTTTTCAAATCTGTCTTCAACTGTGGGCAGATCTGAGGAAAGGAAAACACAAAGGATCCATGGGGACTGCAGTGTTGCTGCAAGGCCAAACCATTGACCTGTCAGCAACAGATTCCAGCCTCATTGTACCATCTGGTTTTGCACTTCTCTGTGAGAGGAGAGGAATAGGAAAGCATTTCTGGGAGGATAGAGCACTGACAAGGGCTTTCCCCTGGGCAGGGAGGATGAATGCAGTGTGTGTGGGAAACACTGTGGAGGTACAGGCGGGGAAGGTGGAAAAGGAGTCAGGTATGGTCTCCCATCCTCTTTCATTTGAACTTAGGGGCTTTGCTTGCAATAAGCAGCATGATTTTTGCAAGAGCACATTGATTCTTGCAAGAGTCAAATAGAGATTTGCCAAAGGCAATGCCAGATTTTTTTCCACTATTCCATCTCCTTATTTCCACTCCAGAGTTTGCAGTTATCTGCCAAAGCCAGAGTTGCAAAGCATGTGACATGGGGAGGCAACATCCCATTCCTGATGGAAATGCAATGAAAGTTTAATGCTCTGGCAGCAGCTGACGCCCTCACCTCTTTGAAGTCTTCATGAGAGCCCTGCATTGTTCAGGATTTATGCACTAGCCCTCAGCAAACATCACATTTATTACCCTTGTATCAGTTAGAGCAGTTAAAGGGATGACAAGCTATTGAGAGGCTCAAGGGAGGTGAAGGGAGAGGTAGGAGCATGGAGGCTCCAGCTCTGGGTGGGGGGTGCTCTGCTGGGCAGCATGTGGCCTTTTCTCCCCAGGAAATAGGTTGGGGTTGAACTAGCTGCCTTTAAATACCTTGACAGGAAAGAGACGTGTCCAGAATTGTGAGGTAGAACATCAGTGATAAGGGAAGGGCTGTGTAGCAAACTTCCAGGTGTGGGTATGTGTCTGTGAGTGCCATAGCTTTGTCTCCATGGGATGCTGCCTTGGTGGCATTTTCCTGTCCCTGTGCCTGCAGACCTGAGAGAAACATCTGCATTTTGAGGAGATCCAAGATGAAGCACCTTATACTCATTCTGCTGTCCTGTCCAGCCCTTTCCAACAACTCTTCTTCCCTTTGCAGGGGGATATGAGGTTGTACCTGATGGGAGCTTTTTGGGTGGTGCTGTGCCTGCTTTTTGGAATTAGCCATGACACATTGTTCTGGGGTGAGGCAGAGGGATGTAATAGGGGCAGCCTAGGCTGTGGAGTGAGCTGGGGTGCCAGTTATGTGCAGTGAGGAGGAATGTAGGGAAGGGCAGGTGGATGATGCACCGGGAAGTCATCGTTCTGGAAAGGGGTGGTCCTGAGTGATGGCTCTGTTGTGTTAACCAGAAAAAAAGAAAAAGAAAAAGAAAAAAGTTGAATATTAGACTTTGTGCACTAGAAAGCTACAATCTGCCACTTTCTGAAGTGCAGTTCCAGATTGCTGTGCTGGTGAGAGTGGAAGTGCTGTGAGCTTGTGAGCTCCAGTCCAGGCTGCGTATGGAATAATTAGCCTGCTTTCTACCCAGAAAAACTGTTTTTTCTTTTCTTATTAATGTCAATAACAGCTTATTAATGCCAGTGGTGGAATTTTGTTCAAGATCTCAGTCTGCCATGGTGCTCAGTGTTCTTTCAGCAGTGCCCAGCTTGGGATGAGTGGGAACACTCAGCCTTGGCTTTGTAAACCAAATAAGTGATTAAAAACATTTGGGAACGATCAGCAGGGCCTTGAAGAGGCTTATGCAGGCAAAGGGCAGCTGTTTGGCACTGCTGAAGGCTGTGACAGCCCTTGTATTCAGGCTGGCTCCCACACTCCAACATTTGTGTCCCCAACACTCAGTTGGGGAGACTGCAGAGTGCACCCTCCTGTTGGCCAGGAGAGCAGCCAGACATGAGAGTTGCAGGGCTTGTTTTACTGGGAAAAACAGATATGGTAGAAAGCTCCTGTCCAGGTGAAGGAACGAGCACAGGAGTCATCTGCTGTTTAACAGCAATAGCCCCGAGTGCCACCTCCAGAGATGCTCTGGAGACAAGAGGATTGGTTTGGTCAATTCCCAAGAGATCAGGATTTTGCTGGAACTGACACACACATTTCACAAATCCCCAGCCCCTGGGTCTTGTGCTGTGTGGGACTGGCACTGAGTTCCAGTATAATGGTTATATTGAGATATTTTAAGGCTATTGTTTCAATGTTTTTGTCTTGACAATGTTTAAAGACAGGCTAATAATGAGTAACTATTTTCCCAAGCACACACTCTGCCAACACTTGATTGAAAACTACATTGCCATCTAGAAAAGCGTCACTTGGGGCGTAGTGTGGCTGCCTCTTGACTCAAAGTGTAGGAGCAGGAGGTGCTACAGCATCTCTGGCTGGGAGGGACAGGATGCTGACTGCTATTGGGCTTGCTCAGCCTGGCTCAGAGCACAAACAGAGGTTGTTTCTCATGTTGGTTTGGGTCTTTTGCACAAAAACTGCAGGACAGAGAGGCAGGACATGCCCTGGTGATCTTGCAGGAATCTACTTTAAAAGTGGATTTCCAGTAAAAACAAAAGACGTAAGTGTGGACAGCTGAACAAAAAATTTTAAAGTCATATCATCACAAATGGGATGGCTTGTGCAAGAATTTGGCAGAAGAAACAAATAACCTCGAGTGCTCAGGACAAAGGCATGCGTTACCAGACTGGCTGTAAGATTCTGTACTGCCTCCTTGGGGGAAAAAACACCCTGCCCTAGCTGGAAACCAGCTTTCAAGTGCTGGGCAGGAGATCACTGATGGGGATGTGCATCCCTAAAGCTTGGAAATTTAGGTGTTTTTAAAAGCAGTTTATCATAAGACCTTAAGCAAGAACAAGCATCTGGAGCTGCTCAGGTGGGAGAGGGCAGTAGTACAGCAATGGGACAGGGCCCTTGTGGTTTTAATCAAAACATGATAAGCATTAATGCTACTTCTGAATGTCCTTTCTCACAATTACAAATGCAATATAAATGTTGCACTTACTACCTTATTTAGTGAAAGCCTGGCTGTGCCAGGGAAGAGCCTTGTCTCTGGGGTAATTCAGGTGCCATGGTGCTGTCCTGGATGGACAGAGCTGAAGGGGTCTCTCTCCTGCTTTCCAGGTGATCCGCTCTGCTGCTGACTGGTCTGCTGGCATCAAGTACCACGAGGAGTCCATCCACAAAGCCTACATCAGTGTGATAGAGAACAGCAAGCACTACATCTACATAGAGGTGAGTGGCAGGAGGGTCCTGATGCTCTGGGCATGGCTTGTAGCCATCAGGAAGGTAAATACTTCTTGAGGTTTGATCCTAAGTTTTTATGCATTTAGACATTACCTTCAGTGGTCTTAAGGCCAGACTGATGGCTGTGTACCCTGACAAGCTGTCTGGCCACAAGGTGGAAAAAAGTAGACCTCTCCTTTATAAGGCTCTTTGCAAAATTTCCAGCAGTTTTCATTGCCTGTTCAATAGTCTCCCTGTCCCCTCTGTGGCTTTGCAGCGTCCCCTGTGCATGCCCAAACCTCCCACTCACCCAGCAGCTCTTCATCAGCAGCATTCAGCTGCAGCAATCTCTTGTGTCAGAGTGACACTCAGTGCTGGCTGAATGGAGATGCTTTTTCTCCTCTTTTTTTTTTAGCCTCTTGTTAGGTTGCTCTTTACATGAACTTTCTAAGGAGTGTGACTAATAAGGACTAATTCATTCCCTAAGCAAGCACAGACACACATACCATTTAATCATAATTAAAAAGAGCCTCCACTCCAATGGCATACAAACCCAGCTATCTTTATAGTTGTTTTTGGTTTGAAATAAAGCATGCAAATATTTTGGGTTGGTTGCTGGCAGTGTCTGACAGTAGATTTGCTTGCTTTTCCTGCAGAACCAGTTTTTTATTAGCTGTGCTGATGACAAAATTGTCTGGAACAAGATCGGTGATGCGATTGCTCAGAGGATTCTTAAAGCTCACAGGTAACCTGTTCTTAAAGAGGTAGTGGAAGTCTTCAGGTGCATTTCCATGGTGTGGTGCTAAAAATTACCCCTCAGTGGACACAGCTGGGCAGTAGCTGTGCCAACACAGAACTGATAGGGTTGAGCACCTGCATTTGCAGCAGAGAGGCTCCTGAGTGGTTTCTTTGCATCCAGAAAGTGATTTTTCTGGACTTATCCCAATGTAAATATATTTTTGACTGTGGAACTTGTTTAAAGGCAAGTCCTTTGTGCTCTGGTTCAGTGACACCTTTGCTCCATTGCCAACTTGCCTTGAGCTGGGTGGTCAGGCATGGGTTGGAAGGGTGAACTGGGATTTGTGGTTTATTTAAATCATCTAGAGGGAGCGGCTTCAAACTGGGGAAGCAAACACATTTTGAGGATTTGACTGGAGGGCTCTGCTATTGTTTGAACAATTTTTTCTGGTACACGCTGGAGGGTGTTCACCACCTCCAGTCTTTGCAAGGGGACCGTTGTTTGTTCCTGGATGGATTGAATCCAACCATGTTTTAGACACTCCTTCAGCACACCTAACCCTGTGTTAACATTAATGCCACAGGTAGAAGCTTGTCTTCACTTTGATCCTGGGCTGCCTTGCTTAAGGTTGCTCCCCTGGAGTTTCTTTGACTTACATTTCATAGTATAAAACTGTACCCTGCTTCTGCTGGGCTGAAAGGAAACTTTCTAAACTTTTCCCTTTCATCTCTCCTGGGCTTTTTTGCCGCGCACAGAGATGTTTTCTTGCATGGATTATGTTTTCTATATTGTAGTTGTCCAGAATGCTGCAGGGCCTGCTTTTCCAGAGATCTTGTCTCCAAGGTTGCAGGAATTTTGCTCTTTTTTTCACTTGAGCTTGGAAATTCCCACTTGGGTAAGGGCAGCCATCTGGAGACAGCCACCAGAGTGCAGGAAATGTCTGCAAGACCACAGGAGCTGCCCTGGGCCAGGCTTTGTCCAGAGCACTGTGGAAAGAAGAGCACTACTGAAACAGGGAGAGCCTGGGTTTTTCCTGCTGTGCCATTAACAATGGGGTGGGGTTGCCTGTGATCTGTGTGAGCTGCAGTGAATAGCCCAAAAAATTGAAGTTAGCGAAGGATGAAAAGATGGGGTGGATTTTCTCATCTGTGGTCCATGAGGAGCAGTGCCAGTGCTGCTGGAAATGTTGTTGCTGTGTTTATATTGCAGCTTTGAGGCTCAGAGGCAGCTGGATAGAGCATCTTAGGGCACCTTTCAGTGCTTAAAGGGGCTAGAGGAGAGCTGGAGAGGGACTTTGAAAAAGGGCATGTGTGATAGGACAAGGAGAAATGTCTTTGAAGTGAAAGAGGATTAGATTGGATATTGGGAAGAAATTCTTCCCTGTGAGGGTGGGGAGGCCCTGGCACAGGTTGCCCAGGGAAGCTGTGGCTGCCTCATCCCTGGAAGTGTCCAAGGCCAGGTTGGACAGGGCTTGGAGCAAGCTGGGCTAGTGGAAAGTGTCCCTGCCCATGGCAGGGAGCTTTGGAACTGGAGGAGCTTTAAGGTCCCTTCCACTCAAACCATTCTATGATCCTGTGATCTCTTAAATAGTTTGTATCATAATGCTAATTTTCCAAACTGCCCCAGGAAAACAGCATTTAATTATAAATTAAGGTCTGTAGTGAGTTTGTATACTTCTCACTCTTCTAGACTAAATATTTTCTACTGATGTTATTAATAATGTTCTTTTCTTGGTTTCCTCTTTTTTTCATGGGTGGCTCTCTAAGCAGTTTAATAAACACTGTCCTTTTACAAACAAGCTGCTTTTTGGGGAATGCTTTTGTTGGTAGACCTTTCTCATGATACAAACAGACTTGGTTTCAGTCTCTTGTGTCTGAGTAAGGCCTCATTAACTCTTTCTGAGCTCTGCTGGTGAGTCAGAGCCAGTCTGCAGTGCCCAGCACAGCTGGAAGGAAGCGCTGGTTGAAATGAAAGACACACAGGTCCTCACTGTCGCCTCCCAGCTCAGATGGGACCCCAGTGCTTCACAATTCCCACACCCCTAAAATTCACAAGCATGGCTTGCCTGAGGAAGGAGTACTTCTAGCAAAAACTGTAGGCTGGCTCATCCTCAGAGTACTTCTGAAATGGTTTTGTGCTGATAAAACTGTGTTTGCCATCTAGCGGCAGTATCTTTCCATGGAGCATTATCCTGATCCTTCTCTTCCTCCTCCTCCTCTGGAGCACAGAGCAGGGAATTCCCAGCACCCACGGGCACCTGGAAGGTGCTCTCAGAGCAGATACACCTGGCATTTGTCAGCAGAGGAAAACCCAAAGGGAGCTTTGAGAACAGCCCCAAGCAGTTTCACAGTAGCTTTTGTTCTGAATGAGATCATGATTAGAGTATGGATTAATTTGGAGGACACTGGAACTGAGATTTTTGGGTGCTGTGATATATCAAGGACATATTTTCCTTCCTCCAGTGCTCAATGTTTTGCTTGTGCCTTGAACTTTTTCCACCTTTTGTGGTGTTTCTGACTTCTGAAAACCAGGAGACAGTGGGAAGGTTGGGTTGGGTTTTGGATTTCTGCCTGTGATAGCTCTGTAAGCTTTGCTGTGCTCTGTCAGGCAGCAGAAGGAAGAATCCTTCACCTGCCCCTGAATTTCAATAAAAATGTGTTTCTTTTCCTTTAGCTTCTTTTGTTGTTTGCTGACAGTAAATCATTCCCTCTCCTCCTGAAGGAGCACTCACAGAAGTACTGATGGCAGGTGATGATTTCCTTAAACTGGAAATGCACTTCACACTTTGGTCCCTTAAAATTTGTGTGCTGGCCTTGGACGGGAGCCAAGTCGGTTATCTCAGGGGAAATGAAACCGAGGGGACTTTGTGCAAAGCTGTGACTTTTCCAGGCTGATGTAACATTCCCAGGCTGATCTTCCCCCAAACTCTCTGGTTTTTCAGGGAGAACAAGCGTTTCCGAGTGTACGTGGTGATCCCGCTGCTGCCGGGCTTTGAAGGGGACATCTCGACGGGCGGGGGGAACGCGCTGCAGGCCATCATGCACTTCAACTACAGGTACCTCAGGCAGGCTGTCAGAGAGCCCTGGACACCTCCACTGCTGCAGGGGTCCCCAAGCCCCACCTGCCATCTGTGTGACCAGCGAGGGCAGAGCTTTGCGCATCCTGGTCTTGGGGAAGGTGTCCCTGCCCATGGCAGAGGGATGGAGCTAGATGAACTTTAAGGCTCAGCCAACCTAAATCATTCTATGTTTTGTTTTCCATTTAGCTGATTAAATCTTAAAGCTCCAAATCTGTCTCTTTGGCCAATACTTGGCCTGGCTCTGCCCATTGGCCCCACGAAAGCAATGGCATCTTCCCCTGTGTGACTCTCCTGCTCCAGGATGGATGTTTTGCAGCCCAGCAGGCCTCATAGGAGGGACTGAGATGCAGCAGGGTAGTCCTTGTGCTGGGAAGTGCAGAAGAAGGCAAAATGGCCCAAGATGGTTTTACTGGAAAGCTGCTATGTTATGTATGGTATGGCCAGGGCACAGTCAGTGTGCAGAGACTGCTGCAGCCCTCAGAGTGAAATCCCCTTTGTCTGCTGGCCTGCAGGGGTCCTGCTGCACCTCCACGAGGATCAGTGGGGACACAAGCAGATGGAAAGTAGCACATGCCCCCGACCCTTCTGCCTGAGCTTCCCCCTGCAAGGACAACCAGAGGAGATAGCCCATGGGTTGGGTGGTTCTCAGTGGAATTCCAGCTGTGGCTTTTCCAGCCCAGCCATAATCACACAAACTCCCTGACCTGGTGTTCTGCACATGTCAACGTTTTTCTTAATGTGATTTCACATCCAGGCCTGGCACAGGGGGCAGCAGCCCTATTTGTCACACATTTACAATCATTGCCACGTGCTCTAGAAGGCAGAAGTGCTCCCTAGCTCCTCTGTGGGTTATATAAGCTCCTTTTGGAACATGAGCAGTCCTTGATGGAGTAACAGTCATTTGGGAAAAAAAATGTGCTCTGGAAGCACCCTGTTTCTCCTGCTGTTTGAGAGGCATCTGTGTTTGTGGTTTACCAACCCGGTTCTGCTCCAGCATGTGCTGATGGCTGCCTGCCTTCTTTCCAGGACCATGTGCCGAGGCGAAAACTCCATCCTGGGCCAGCTGAAGGCAGAGGGTAAGAACTTTAATCCTCTCCTCTGTGTTGTTTACTTTGGATGCTGCTGTTTGATGGATGCATCTATAACACGTAATGCAACACATGCTATGGGCTCGTGGGGCTGTGAGTGACCTCCTCCCATGGCAAGCTGTGTCAGGTCACACAAGCCATGGCCACTTGTCAGACCTCAGACCTGGCTGCAGCCCTGATCCAGAAGAGGGGAACACCCCAGGGAGGAGCACAGCACAGTTGCAGCTGCTCAGGATTGTGTTATTTGGAAAATGTCCTGAGCAGGGTCACAATTCTGGGAGCCACAAGGCCTCAGCCTTCCCTGTGGATCCCACACAGGGTTTGTTTCTGGCAGTTGTCAGACATGGAGAGGAAGAACCTGCCTAAGCAGGAGGCTGTTTCCTTGCCATGAGGAATCCTGCTGGAATTTGCTCTGCTGGGAATTGGAGCACTGTGAAAACCCACATAATCACAAACACTAGGACTGTGAATAATGGCTCATTTGTTCTAGGTCCTGGTGTAAATTTGAACTGCACACAAGTGCATTAGGACACATTTGCCATGCTGACCATGAACAAAACACCTGCTTCCAGCTTCCCTTCTGCAGGATCTGCAGAAAAACAATCTCATAGTCCACCTATTGTGCTGTGCCCAGGAGACTGGAGTAATTTCTCACTGAAGTTGGAGTCTCTGTGCAGGCAGCAGATCAGAGCAGCACAGTGAGCTCACAAGAAAATTTTCAAGTCTATTTTTAAAAAAAAAATATTTCTGTTATCTATTCATTTATAATTATTTTAAAAGTCAGAAGTGAACTTTCATAGTTCTTATTCATATGGTTCTTCATGTAAACAAGGTTTTTTTTTTTCCTCTTCCACCTCCCTCATCCCATCAGTTTTCATGTCTTTTAATTTTCAGTTGGAGATAAGTGGATAAACTACATATCATTCTGTGGCCTTCGAACATATGCAGAGCTGCAAGGAAAACTGGTCACGGAGCTCATCTACGTGCACAGCAAACTGCTCATTGCTGATGACAACACGGTTATAATTGGTGAGCAGGGGCTCTCAGAGGGGTTTGGGGCACTGGGTTATCCTGGATCAATCCCTTCCCATCCCTATGCCCAGTGCAGGCTGCAGGGCCGTGGGCTTTTCTGTGTTGTCATTTCTTTCCTGAGAAATATTTTGCTGTTTAAAAAAAAAAAACACAAACAAAAACAAACCTAAAAAACAAAGTCATAAATTCATCAAGAGGGAAGAAAGGATTCAAAGGGCTGTCATTTAATTTGTTTTTCTAAAATCTTCTAAATCTGTGTGTAACCGTGAAGAGAATCCCAGTGCAGGGAATATTGTCCATCTGTCTTGTATCAAACTCTGCTCTAGCAGGAAGACTTGTGAGACTTGTCATCTGTTCCTGAAAGAACAGAATGTGCTGTAAGATTTGGAAGGTTTGGACAACATGTGTCATGTATCAGCTCCATTTCTAAGAATGGGACAATATGCTATAGGGAGTAATAGATATCATTTCATCCTCTTCTCTTACCATATTTATTATGAGAACATGAAGCAAAGACAAGAGAGTTCAGGCTCAGAGCTCTACACTGCAGCAGAATTCCAGCCTGCTTCTTTAAAGAAGCCCTTTTTTGAGCTGTTATATCAGCAATAAAAACTTTGCCAATCAATACCTTAATACCAGATTTTACAGGGCTCGAAATACTCCCTCCTTTCAAAGCAGTGATCTCAGATGACCTGTGGTGAGGTTTGCTCCTCTGTCACCTTGTCAGAGGCCAGATCCTGTCTCCAGTGCACAGAGTAGCTCTGAGGTGGTTTGGGATCACAGCAGGAGCTCTGTTGTTCCAGCTGGAATGGTCTGGGGGCCTGAGGCAGCTCTTAGTTTTTATTTTCTTTACCTATAAGCTTGAGGGTAGATTTTTATACAGCCTGTGCATCTCTGCTGCCTGGTGAGGGGATGGGAAGTCATCCCCTTTCCACATAAGAGAGAGTGCATGGAGATTAAGTGCTGCTAGAGCTGCTGGGCAGGAGGAGGGGGTGAAAGGACAAAGAGGCACTAAGCTGGTTTTTCCTCTGGAGGTGTTGGCTCCCCTGGAGTTAATCCAGTTCCTGGGAAGGCTCAATGGCTAACTGCAGCCCGGGGATCTCTTACAGCTATGTCTGGAGATTTTTTTATTGTTGTTTTTGTCATTTCTGTGGGTTAATGACCTCATTATGCCTATCCTTCCCTCTATCTTGCTGTTCCCAGAGCCAACAGATGCAAGCAGTGTTCCCCCATGCCATTTTCTGATGTAGGACAGAGAAACCTGTTTGGAGGGACAAAGCCTCAGCTTTGTCTCAAGCAGACCCTCCTGAATGGCACAGCAACCTGGTCTAGTGGAAGGTTTCCCTGACTATGGCAGGGAGGTTAAAACAAGAGGAGCTTGAAAGTCTTTACCAAACCATTCTGTGATTTACCCAGAGAGCCCATCCTGCCTCAGGTAGCTGGGTATCCAAACCAAATGCATTTCAGACCTCTGAAAGCTGTGGCTCCTTCAGCCAGAAGCATCTGGGAAGTTGCAGGAAGAACAAATTTTGAAAATGTTGGCCTGGGCTTGGCTGAGATTTAATCTTCTTCCAAACCGTTGAAGCCTGCAAGAATCAGTTGGTGTTTTTTTCCTCTCCCCCAACTTCTCTCAGGGTCTGTGTTTCCATAAGAAAGCCCCTTGGTTGATTCCTGGAACAGGCTTGCTTAGGAACAGAGGCCAGACAAAGTTAAAGAGATAAAAGCAGATATATTTATTGAAGGGCCTTCAGGTACATTAAGGGCAGACAAAGCCTCCCCAAAGAGCTATACTCAAAAAGAGCAATAGGTCGTAAGTTTCTCAGAGAGATATAAGTTTGGTCTATTTGCATATAGGGCTAATTCTCCAATTACAGCTTCAGGTAATGAAATATACTCCAAATTTGCTCCCCCCAATTAATTTTTGTTTATACTTTTGAGGGCCTGAGGCAGAGGGTGTCCTTGGTTCTCAGACTTAGAAGGATCTGACCAAAACGTGAAGAGAGCTTACTAACACTCTCTATGGAGTTCAGAGTTACACACTAATGCGGTGCACTATCTGAAAAATATAAAAGCTAAAATCCCGAGGAATCAGGTTGTGCTTTTACCTGTCGAAGGCGTGGATGGTTCCCCACGGAGCCGCGGGGTGGCGGGTGGTGATGGAGGGGTGGTGATGGAGGGGTGTGCAGTGAGACCTGTGCCTCGTCCCACCCTGCCCAGGCTCTGCCAACATCAACGACCGCAGCATGCTGGGGAAGAGGGACAGCGAGATGGCCATCATCGTGCAGGACAGCGACACCGTGCCCTCCGTCATGGACGGCCAGGAGTACAGCGCCGGCCGCTTCGCGCAGTCCCTCCGCCTGCGCTGCTTCAGGTGCGCCCGGGGCCGGCCCAGCGCCAGGAGGGGCCGGGGCCCTGAGCAGGGCTACGAGCAGGGCTCTCTGACCTGCCCCACAGCCCTTCATACCAATGGGCTGCACTGCCCACCCGGCTTTGGCTCTGCTCCGCCTGCACTGAGCCCAGGGTTTTGCTGCTGTTCCACTAGCCTCACACCGCTCCTGCCCACAGCTTGGTAGCTTGATTTTACAAATTATTTTGCTCCGGAGATTCGCTAGCAGAGCTCATAAACAAGTGGTATTTCCCTCCAGTTCCCGTTTGCACACTCTCAAGCTTGGGTGGCAGTGTCACTTTTTAAAGGAAGCTTCTTTGCTGGGAGCAGCCATCTGGCCCAAAACACAGCCATTTTTAGTTTAAGGCCTCTTTCTTTTTCCTTTTTTTTTTCCCCCACCCTATTTCCCATCTGGACAGTTACTGCACAAAAGAAAAGGAGAAAATCAAGCATCATTGGAACTGGCAGATTATCACAGGGGATGGGAGTGGGAGGCTGCTGGGAGCACACGGGGTTTGGCAAATCCCAAGGAAACGTCTCCTGGCATTTATCAAGAGGGGAGTGCCCAGTGCTTCAGCCTCTGTGACCATCCATCCCTTTGTCTTCTCAGGGTTGTCCTTGGCGGCTCCGATCTCAATCCAGAACACCAGGATCCTGTCTGTGACAAATTCTTCAAGGAGGTGTGGATCGCCACAGCAGCTCGCAATGCCACCATCTTTGATAAAGTGAGGAGCACAGCAACTCCCCGTCCCTCCATCCCACACAGAGGCAGCACATGCCAATGGGAGAAGCAGCACAGGGAGGGCAAAGAAAGCAGGTCCAGCTCCTGGGGTTGGACCTTCAGAGATGTTTTGAAGGAATGAGTAGTGTCAGATGCAAGAGCTGTGAACAAGAAACTGGAGCTGGTGCATGCTCAGTGTGACAGCACCCATGAAGGCAGCGGATCAGATTTCTGTGTTTGCATCAGCCGTAGCTCCAGTGAATGGCCTTGGTGTAGTTACTGCTTGTAATTAGCTACATTGTAACTGGAGTAGCAGCAGATTTTACTTCTGTCTTTTAATGAGTTTTTGCAGTGATCAGAAAAGGCCCTGGAGCTTCCCCTCTGCCTGCTGCAGCCTCATCAAGGACAGGCACATCTTTCTTCCCTCCCTGTTCTCTGGGCTGTTAATTCAGTCACTCCCATCCTGGGGAATTTGTACTGGATGCTTTGGTCTTTCTCAGGAACTCTGCATTGCTGCATTTCCCCTACACTGACAGGTGACTTCTTCTTTCTGTTTTGATCAGGTGTTTCGATGCCTTCCCAGTGACGAGGTGAATAATTTAACCCAACTGCGTGATTTCATCAACAAGCCCAAATTAGCAAATGATGATCCTGCGAAAGCAGCAGAAGAATTAAAAAAGATTCGTGGGTTTTTAGTACAATTCCCCTTTCGTTTTCTGGAGGAAGAATACTTGCTTCCCTCTGTTGGAACAAAGGAGTCCATGGTACCCATGGAGGTTTGGACTTAAGAAGATGCAGACTGCTTTACCTTTTAAAGTCTTGTTCTCAGGAGAGAAGTTAATGAAAAATACGGGATTTTGGAAAGTGAAAGGAGACGAAAAGCTTCTCTACCAAGCTAATGAGCCTTTTTGAAGGATTTTGGTGGAGGAACTTGAAGCAAATTGACACTAGCAGACAAGAGGAGCAGAAAAACTTGGAAATGATGGCAGATGAAAGGCTGAACCTCTGGAGGAGTAACTTCTTCGGATGTGTTCTGAGCATCTAAAGGATGCAGGCTACTTCCTAGGACAGGAACTGACTCCCAATCGATGTTGTCACCACTGCCATCTGTATCCTGTGGTTGAGTTCATACTGTGATCGTGCTGTGGCTGCACAGGAGTCCTGGGCTGCGTGTGCTGCTTCTCAGGCTTTGGGTGTCTGCACCTTGGCTCGCTGGAGTTCCCCATCTCACCCGTCCCACATGCCATCAGAGCACGTTGTGCAGCCCTGCCACTCTCGGGAAGTGCCATTTGCTGCTGCCTTGGGCTGTCCTGCAGCTTTCCAAGTGTAGGAGTTCACTTCTTAAAGGGAAACAGACTAACAATCCTGTATCAGAATCAGCATTTTGGTCTCTTCATCCCTTTGGGGGAAAAAAATCCTCTTCCTATTGTAGCTGGAGCAATCAACAGCCCTCAGGCTTGGCAGAGGGCAGTGTCAGTGGAGCTGGAGGTGCTGCTGGAGATCACTGGAGTTTGCTGGCCTTTGCAGACACACAGCACGTCAGCTTGGTCCCACTGAGTGTGACTGTTGTCCTCAGGAGAGGACCAAGGTTCCAACTGAAGCCTGAGATGTCCAGAGCTGGGGGAAACCAAGGCATTGCCTGTAACAGGACTGAGACTCCAAAGCCAGCATGATCTGAACCAAGCTCAGCACTCTGCTTGTGAATTTATCTTGCAGCATATGCATACATTTTCATTTCCATCTCTTTCCCCCTATTTAAAAGCATGAAAGGCCATTAGGCTGACAGAATGCTCAGGCAGAGCTGGTTTTGTAGATGAGGCGAATGCAAGGGGGAAGGGGAGCAAGTGGCAAAGCCTTGTCTCTGCTCTGCTTTGTTCCTGAACCAGCAACAACCTTGAGGTCAGTCATGCAGGACATGTCTTCCCAAGCAGAGGTAAAACTCAGCATGCACATTCCTGTTTTCTGTTACTGTAAGAAGGTTTCCAAAGCTCTTCTGCACCTCCCTGTACAGAGAAGCAGCAGTTCGATCCAACATCCTGGGAAAAACACTACAGTTCCTAGGTTAGAACCTCGTGTGGTGGGCACCAGCCTGGGTCTTACCCCATGCTTCATCCTGCAATGAGACCATGTCTCCCAGTTTCATGTCCAGCTCTGACCTGGGGTGTTCTGGCAGTCTGCAGTGCTGTGTCAGCTGCTGGGAAAATGGAGCATTAGAAAACACTTCAGGAGAGCTGGATCTGGGGGAATGGGAGGCTGAGCTCTTCTGCTGCCCCTGCATCCAGGCATCCCTTCCCAGGATTATACCTGTGCCCAACACTTGGTCAAAAGGCCCAGTGAACTGGTATTTATTTTAGTTCACAGAAGAGTTAATTTTTTTCTTTTCTGGCTCTTCCAACAGTTTTTTAACTGGAAAAGAATCCCACTGGTCACCTATCTATCCCCAAAACGTAGCTGGCATGACATTTCTGCTGATTGCTTTCTGTGTTCAGACCTATAAACAGGCACCAGCTTATTCTGTACCTGTTGCATCACCCAAACAGAGAACAAACCCCAGATGTTCTTCCAAATCTCAGCCCATTCCTACAGCTTCCACTGTTTTACATCTGTGTTTTGTAGGTGCAGTTGCCTTTTACTCTCGTTTCTGGCATCTGTGGTGTGGTTCACCTTTGGGAAGTGCATGTGCAGCATTTTATGTGATTGAGTCTGGGGGGTTGATGGTTTTACCTGGCATGCTGTAAGCAAATATGTTCCCTTGATTTTTTTCCTTGAAAGAAACTGACCCGGGGTCACCCCCCACAGAGCCAAAGCAAAGTGTGCCCTGACCATTTACAATCGAGAAAGATCAAAGGTGTCCTGTGATTTCACATCAGTGCAGGTTCAGAGCTTTTCTCTCCTCATATTTTTAGCTGGTTTCTTTTGACTGAAGCTGCTGACTTCAAACAGTTACAGCCTGCCAGAGAATCCTTGTCAGTCACACAGATCCGTGTTCAGAGTCAGAAAGTGTTCAACCCCACCACCTATACACTGAACCTTGAAGTGCAACACTCCTGTCACCTTCTAAGTGCTCTTATTCTCCTCATATTCATATTAGCGAAGGCTTTTATAATTGTTAAATTAGCCTTGCATTGTCTTGCAAAGTGGTAGGTAGCTATTGTTGGGGTAGGTAGTAATTGTTGGGGCTCCCTAACTCCAGGGGTGTTAACTCCCCCTCTGCCAGGCTGCTTTGGGGAAGAACCACTCAGGTTCTGCAATGCTCAGCCCACTGTGTGATAGCTGCTGGTCCCCAGTGACACAGCAGAGCCATGGAGGGAGATGTAATTGACTGGTTTGGTATGAAAAGGTGCTACTTAAGAAGGTCTTTCATTATTGAGGTAGCAGACAGGCCTGGTGTTGGCTCTCTGGGAGGAGGTTCCCCTCTGTGGGAGCAGAGGCACTGCTGATCATCCCTTCCCTGTTGGTGCTGAGTTCCTGACACCAGGAATTTGGTAACATTCAAATGAAAGCAAGGTGTGCACGGCAGCCTCGGCACAGGGAGGAGATCCCAGCATCCCCAGGGGTTTGTGGGGCCAAAGGTTCCCTGTGGAAGCAGCACTGCTCACCCCAAACAAACAGTAGGCTCCTGCTGAAGGCCCTGCTTATTCACACCCTGGGCTGTGCTGTTTGGAGCTGGCTCCTTGGGTCCTGTCAGCTACAGGTTTGTTTCTTACATTAAGAAGCCTGTGAAGTTGAACACCTTGAGAGAGTTGATTTCTGCACCTGAACAATCACTACTTCTTAGTCTGTCTAAGACTAAGCGTGGGCTGCAGTCTGGAGAGGGCCACCCACGATACCCAGAGCTGGAACAGGTGATGTGGATTCAAGCACTGGCAACCCCAGAAACATCAGCTGTTTCTTGTGGCAGTTATTTATTAGAACTGTAGGAAATGAGAACTTCTCCCAGGCTCAGACTTTATTTTGTAATTCAGCCCAAGTAGAACACTTATTTTACCTTTAATTTATTCCTTAACACGTTCCACTTTGAGAACTGACACTCCTTTCCTTAAATTTTAATAGTCTGCTCTTTTAAAATATGTATTTTGTTGTATAGATATTGGACTGGATAAATGTTTCACTGTAAAGTTAATGCATGATTTTAAAAATGAGGAGTAAAATGTCATCGTCTCCAAAAACTGTACTAAAAACAATTTAAAGAACCACTCCAGTGCTCCATGGAAGAGGTGAAGTGCTCAGCTTAGTTTTTGGTCTGTTTTTCCCCTGACTTGGTGTGAGCTTTGCTGCATTAAACCCCAAACGCTCCATTTTCGGTTTTTTTTTATCAAATTTCACAACATGATTTTGCAATCCTGGTGCTGTCCCTGGGAGAACCTTAGTGCAGGTGTCACCTTGCTGGGACTCTTCCATGAATAATTTACAATATCTTTATTCCTTTCAAAGGAGCATCCCTGTACAATCAAGTGCAGATGTGTTTTGCTGTTGTTATTTCAGTGTAACGAGCCTCAAGCACTTGTAGCAAGGACAGTCAGGGGTTCTGTCTGGGCACAGAGCTGTGTTTGTGGAGACACTCCCATACAAGTATGAGAGTACTGTAGGATAATGCCATTTCCCTCTCCTGCTGCATATGGAGCCCCAAATCCATTATGGGCTAAGCTGACCCCTCTCACCAGCAGCAGAACCTTTCATGGTGCAGTGCTGTGGTGGCCAAAGGGAAGAAAACCAGCGGTGTCCAGACCAGGATATGAGCAGACGCTGGCACCCCTTGGGTGCCCCACAAAGTGTGAACACACTGTCACAGCTTGTGGCACTCATTCTGCAACTGGTTTCAAACAAGCAATTGCTGCTGCACTGCTGAGATCCTGCTGAAATCAGGAGCTCTGCAGAATCCTGCTTGAAACCCAGGGTGTAACTTCATGGCAGTGAATCAAGGCCAGCGTGTGAATCTCAGTGTATCAAAGTGGAGCCGCCCCACAAACCATACATTGACCACTGAATGCAATGATCCTCTTGGGTTGTCACTTTTTTTTTTTCCTATTTTCCTTTCCCTGCCTGCTTTCTTGTTGTATTTTCCAGTATTTGTGATTATTCTATTTTTAACCTTCCAGTATCTTTTCATAGAATCTGCTCTGTGTAAATAATTCCAACTTTCCTTAGTCCTGATGCTAGGGAAGTGAGAAAAAGTGTCAAAAAGTCAGTTTTTCAAATGTTGGGTTTTTTTTAAAAATTATGTCTCTAGCTAAACTAATCCACAAAAGGAGAGCTTCCACTTGGGGTGTGAGCACAGGTCTGTGCGTCCCTCCCTTCCATCAGTGCTGCTGTGACACTGAATATCCCTTCTGTGAAGGCTGCTGGAATTGAGTTTTGTATCCTTGTTCCTGCTAACAATCGCTTTCCTTTCCACTCTGTTTGTATCTGGTAAATGAATGTGTATTAATGGACTGAAAATACAACCGATCATCATGTCAGAACACTTGGCTTTGGTGTCATTTCTCCTTGTTTTGTGGGCCCCATCCTGCCTTGGGATGAGTTCTGTCCTTGCTCTGTATCAGCAGCCAAGACATGATGGGGAAAGGCCCAGAATAGCAATAAAAATGGCTAGACTTGAGTCATTTGGGTTTTCCTGGGAGAGAGAAATTGCTGGGGTGAAACAGCATAGAAAGAAAATTGGACTTCTTAAATAGATTAAAGAGTCATGTTTTAAAGGAGTTTTAATAATCCAAAAGCATTATGAAAGGCATAGACAAAAACTCTCCGTATCCGAAATAGAATTAACTTGCCCCTCTCTGACTTCCAGTAAAGGAAATTTAGCAGAGAGGAAGAAGCAGCTGCCTGTTGTCCTCCAGGGGCAGAAGAGATTAATAAAGCATCAGTGGCATTTCCAAGCTCTCTTGCAAACTGAAAACATATTAACTTCTCCATTTTGTAGGTTTCATCTCCTTTCTCAGATGCCGGAGGGCTCTCTGCATCTTCAGAACTTCCAAACCCAATCTGTGTCCTCGACAGACACAATAAACCAAGACAACAGAGCCAGAGGGTGAGGCAGGGGGTTGGTAAGAGACATCAGGCAGCTGCTGAGTGACACTGTCAGCTTCCACTGCAGCTCCAGCATCCCCCTGCTGATGATGTGCCTCCTGAGTCCCACTTATGGGCTCCTGAAGGGGAGCTAGCAGCAAGGAGGAGCGATGTGGGGCCTGCCAGCCTCTGCTGGGTGCATGGTGCTGAGCCCAGGGGTGCTGGATGGCAGCAGGGCGGCTGTGGGGTCACACAGGGCAGCCACAGCTGAGGCTGGCACTGTCCTGCCACCACTGCTTGGCTTCCCTGCGAGCGGCACGAGACCCATGGGATCCCAGTTGAGACTATCTTGGTGTGAAATTAATGTGAAACTGGAAGTGGTCTTGAACATAGGCAGTTCAGGTATGGATTTGTAGGAAGGTTCCTTTCCCTTTTCTACCTGGTTGTCCTGGTTTCAGGGGGGAAAGAGTTCATTTTTCCTCAGTAGCTGCCAGGTTCTGTTTTGGTTTCAAGCAGGGGTCCAACTCAAGGCCACTGTTGCTGCTTTTGCTGTTTTCCCTCTCCTCCTGTGCTCCTGCAGGGCCTGAGCTGGTTCACATCCATCCCTAAAAGCGGCAGTGAATGGCAGCTCACGGCTGTGGCTGGCACTGAGTGTGCGGGGAGGCAGGAACGCGATGGCACAACTCCCCCTGACCAGAATGTTCCTGTTTGCTCGCCGGAGGACTTGCAGAGCCTCAATTTGATGGCTCCTCGCTGAGCAGGAACGCAGCCCACGCCTACCCTGAACACAAAGTGCCCTTGCCAGAGTGTTTAACAACCTGTTCTTTCCAGGATGGATTTCTCCAGCCATTTTTTGTGCCGAGGCTGTTCCTGTCTCCTCCCACAGGTCAGCTCCTCCATCGTGGATGTGTCCCCAGGAATCCTGTGCCAGGGGCAGGAGGAATCCTCTCACCCACCCCAGCACTGAGCACATCTGCTCTCTGGCCCTTCGTTGGCATTTGTGCACCAAGCTCTCAATAACACATCAACTTTAACGAGTGCCAGCCCTTTGCATGCATGAAATCACTAATATGCTGTAGTTATTTTTGTTCTGAGGAAGAAAGCAGGGAAGAAAGGAAAAAAGAAAAGGTTTTGTGAGCCGGGTCTAAGGGTACATTAAGAAACAGGTTTCTTCTCACTGCTAAAAATCAATTTATTTTAGTTTCTCTGCAATTGTGCCTGCTCTTCACATTTTCAAGTACAGCTCTGAAGCACTGATGCAGTGGAGTGAAGGTTTGAAGAGCTTGAATCACAACAGCACTGTGAGTGAAATGCTCAATTTTTTTCTTATTGGAAAAATTAAAAGTGACAGCTTCAAAATTGGTTCCACTGCTTTGATTGATTAGACAGAATATTTAGCTCAAAATGATTATGGCAAGATTTTCTACAGAGGCTCATGGTTGGGATGGAAATTAATTTGGAGAAAAGGGGAGGGAGGGTTGTTAAAAAAGGAATTATTCTGCAAAGGAAACTGTTTATCCCCAGAATCTGTGATGAGTAATGTCTCCATATTCAGCCTGATCTCAGTAATTAAATATTCTGTGAGTTCCCATTTGAGGACAAAGGAAAGGGGGGGACAGAGAGATAGTGTTAATGAGGCTTCACAGTTGTCTGTCCCCTGGATATTCTGAAGCCCCCAGTGTGCTGCTCAGTGCCCAGCAGGTAGCCTGTCCCTATGGAATGTCCTGACTGGGAGACCTGCCCTGGGCCAAGGTTGGGTGTTCAGCTGGAGTCCTGCTGGGCCAGGTGAGCTGGAGGTCACACACTGGGAAGCTGAGGGCCACTGAAAGTGCTGTGGCACAAGTTCAGGTTAGAGCTGGACCCACCTCTCCAGCTGGAGAATCCAGGGCCAAGCACAGCTTCAAGCAGACACATCACAAGGATGCTCCAGGGTCTCCAGACAGACAGCTGCTCTCTTGCTCCAGATCCTTCCTGGAATGGGAGAGCTGAGGATACCTGAGAGAGTGGGGACAGCAGGCTGGGCTGTCACCCAGGGAGATACCAACAAGAGAATCACAGAATGGTTTGGGTTGGAAGGGACCTTAAAGCTCCTCTTGTTCCACCCCCTACCCTAGGCAGGGACACCTTCCACTATCCTAGTGTGCTCCAAGACCACCCAGCCTGGCCTTGGACACTTCCAGAGATGTTGCAGCCACAGCTTCTCTGGGCACGCTGTGCCAGGGCCTCACCACCCTCACAGGGAAGAATTTTTCCCCTGTCCAATCTAAACCTACTCTCATTCAGTTAGAAGTGATTCCCCCTTCTCCTGCAACTCCAGGCTCTTTCAAAAAGTCTCTCTCCATCTTTCTTGAAGGCTCCCTTCAGTACTGAAATGCCATAATTAGGTGACTCCAAAGCCTTCTCCTTTCCAGGCTGAAGGATCCCAATTCTCTCAGCCTTACAGCAGAGGTGTTCCATGCCTTGTGGCTCTATCCTGCTGCTGGTATCCTGCCTTTGGCATTTATCCGATTTGTCCTTGTTCCTTTCGCTAAACAGGCAGAAAAGTGTTTCTACTCTCTCCACTGGGTTATCTTCCTTATTCCACTCTTTATCAGACAAATGCACTTTAAAAGGCCCAGCCAAGCCCAGCAGATTCACAGGCTGGAACCTGCACATTGCACATGCAAGACAGAAAGAGAAAATGGGTCCTGCAGGAGAGGACTCAGGCATCTTGCCCAGCATTTTTTAATTTCAGCTTGAAAGATGGGTTTGAAACTTTGGGTTGTGTTTTGGGGGTTTTTTTGTTGGTTTTTTTTTTTTTACATTTTTACATCCAGCGATAGATTAGACCCACCTAAGGAAAAAAGCATTGCTGGAGAGATTCTTCCCGGCGGATGCAAACCCTCCCTGAAGCCGAGGGCTGGATGGCCGCGTTCCTCTAGAGGGTGCTGCGGGCTCAGCCTGCGCTCCCCCGGGGAGGGGATGGGCGCTGTGCCGGGAGCCTGCGAGCCCCCACCCCGCTGTGCCGGCTCCCTGCGCATCCCTACGGCCACAGCCCAGCTGCGGGACCAGGCTGCAGCCAAACCACACAGCCCTGCCGGGCTCCCTCCTCCAGCCTGCGCCTGCCTCTCTCCATGGGGTGTTCCCCTTGCTGCTGGGGGCTCGCAGGTCAGCATCTCCCCCATCCCTCTGAGCACGGTCACGCTGAGACATTTTTAAATGAAGTACTACATGTACCGTGACTGTTCGGGCTTGAATACATTCCCTGCCTACCATGTCCTTCCCAGAAGGCTGCGTTGGCTCTCCAGTGACTCGCTGCAATATGTATCTCCACTTCGTTTCCTTGCAGACCATATCTGTACGACATCGATTGTACTGGCTAAGAATGCTTACAAACCTATTTCCTGCTGCAGGATGATCACATTATACACAATTACACACTCTAGGAATTTCTCCTGAGATCCAGCTGGGTACAGGCTGGAGCGGCAGAGGAGCCGGAGCGTGTGCGGAATAATGAATCACTCATTCAAGCTGACTTCAAGCTCTTGGGTTGTGTGAGCATGTGGTGAGCTGCACTAGCTGCTTATTGCCCCCCAAAAAGCCTGAATCACCTAAATCATTCCAAATTTGGTTTCCACTGTGTGTATACTTCCTGGCTCTTGCCATTTCATTATTATTATTTTTACCACACCAGAAAGGTTTGTGCAGAATTTGTTCTAAATGTCTCAGCAGGAGAAGTCTCCATGAGCCGAGACATGATGTTCCAAACAGAGACTTTCTCAGCAGGAGCAAAATCCATGTCTACAAGGTTCCTACCCTCAGAAGAGACACAGTATTGCTTGTCCTGTGGTACTGGTGGTGATGGCAGCAGCAGCAGCACCATGGGGCACTTTCTCAGGATCCTGGGATGCCAAGAGATCTAAAACTGCAGCATTTCCCTGGCTTGGAAATGTCACAGCCTTAGATGGGACAGAGCTACCTGTTTGCCTTCGAGAAGGGCAGGGATGTCTCATGCAGAGTTTCTTTATAAACAAGGAAGCTGATGCTTTTCTTTGACCCCCTGTTGGATCTGTCTAGCAAAGCCATGTTCTGTAGTGTCACGGGAGGGACATGGAGATGATGTTTGGCCATGGTGAATCCCACAATGAGGAGCACAAAGCCCATCAAGCTATGCTGGCTGTCCCTGAGAGCAGGGCACTGGCACAGCTGCAGTGCCAGGGCTGCAGTGTGGCACATTGCAACACCCAAAAACCTGACCCTCCACCTTCCTCTTCCTCTTCCTGGCCAAGCTGCTCCAGGAGCAGCTCTCCTGCCCAACACTGCTTCTTCTGGCCTGGTGAAACACCTCCCTGCACAGCACCACTTCCCTGGTATCCAGCTATGTTTTATCCACTGCTCCATCGTTATCTGCCAGTTCAAAAGGCTGGAGCATGTTTGTTAGCTAAAGATTTCCTTTTAGGGACCTGGCA